GTGTCCCTATTCTACACTTGTACCCTTCGAACATCTATCTATTCATTTAACTCTGCGCCCATATCAAATCTTTTGATAAATGAAATAAATCTCGCATCAATAAATAGACAATTTTATACTCTATTTTGGTAAGATGTTTCTAAGATCCCTGTTGATACTATTTAGGCCCAAAAGATTTGGAAACAACATCTGACACTATTTTAGTTTTGAATATTACTTTCCAAATTTATATTTTTAGAAGTTAGTCATGTTCGACGAGTCGTTTATGATTTACACCTTTGAATGCAGAATTTTACTCTGAACAAAATGATTCCGCATTAAACTAAATAACAAAAAACTATTTCATTGTCTCGAATTAAGAATTGATAATAACATTGTTTCCTAACAATCGCAGATGAGGGACTGTCAATCTTTTCGATCTTCCGTCTAGAAATAAAACCTAGTTGGAAAACACGGTAAACAGTTTTGTAGAGCGAAAAAGTCTCTGTCGAATGAGCTTAGAACGATATCTCCAAACCGTAGTTTTTAGCTTTAATAAAAGGCAAATCAAACTATTCCATTCTTTATGCTCTACTCGTTAAATTTTTGTTTTTCAAAATCTTCGTCATTCTATTTTTATTTTCAAATGTCTTTTATTTCGTTTGTCAATGTGTGATGAAATGATTAGTTATCTCTCATAAATAACAGAATCAAAATAAGCAACTTGATGAGCGAAGGACTACTAATGTTTTTTAACTCTAATGTTTATTTTTCTAGGGAGTAATCTTCACTTTTCACATGTCGACATGGATTGAAGATTTCATTCATTAGTTTTCATCGTTCGTAACTATAGATGAGATTTTCTTGCAGATAAAAGACAATAATTGAACTATTGCAATAAAAATCAAAATATTTTTCTTTTTTTTAAATAAAACTAAATAAATTCAAATGGAAATATCTCAATTCCTTCATCATTGAGAATTATTTATCTTTATTTATTCAACTAATTAATCTAAGCATTTCCATTTGATTATTTTAATGAAAACAAACTTATATGAGGACTAAAACTATGTAGAACAATACATTTATGAAAAGAAAACAGATTCTTTCACTCTCAAGGTCTTTCAAGTCAAACTAAATTTGAAAAAATGATCGTTTTGTTAAGTTAGAATGAAACTATCTGCCGATATAAACAGTTGTTCATAATAATATTGAAGAGATGTTTTTCTAATAAATATTCGAATTATTTAATAAATCTCAGAAAATAAGTTTTTGTAATTATTAAAAAATCAAATTTCGTTTCTTGTCGATTATTATTCATTTTATATTCTCTTACAAAAATATTTCACTTTTTCTTCATTTCTAAAAGATTTTTTATCTTAAAAATCAAAATTTCAAAATAAATACTTTACACTTACCACAACAATTTGTTAACAAATCAAATTTTTGAATTCGATTATTATTCTGATCAGTGACATACATGTTGCCAGAACTATCGAAACTAAGAGCCAGTGGATGGTTTAATTGATTGGATGCTGAACCTGCTACTTGAGAACATCCAACTAAACATTGAAAACCATTTGGTCCTGATCCAACAATACGATTATTCACACTATCCACAATGAATAGATAATTATTAGCATCGAGGACTATTCCAGTTGGACCAGAGAGTGAAATGGTGAAATTTGTTGATCCATTTCCCGCCACTGTTGTTCCATTTAACTGACCAGAGTGGAAAAGTTGAATTCGATTGTTATTCGCATCTGCCACATAGAGATCAAAGTTGATATTAACAAAGATTCCCCGAGGACCATTAAAAGCGTTTGGGGCAGAGCCCGAGCCACTCGTACCAGCAGCAATGATCGATGTATTTGTATTATCATTCAACCACTTTTTAATCACTTGATTATAATAAACCAGTGAACAGTATAAAGTATCATTGATATCAATAAAGAGACCAAAGCATGCTTCATTCACATTCATAACAGAGACACTGTTGTTTGTGTTCTGTGTGAATTTATCAACTTGTTGGTTGTTACCATTATCGACATAAATATCACCATTAGTCGTCACGAAAAGAGTCATTGGTGAGGATAAATTGCCATAAATTGTCATTGTCGGATCAATATTATTGTTGGTCCACACTTGAATTCGATTATTTTGTTTATCAGCTACATAGATCGAATTGTTTGTATTGACAAAAATTCCACAAGGGCTTGAGCCAACTGTGGTTTGATTTGCAAAAGTTGTTGCATTTTGATTCCAAGTTGCATTTGGACCAAAGTTTAGTTGATTAACTGAAAGAGCTAAAATAAAAAAGTTTGTTTTTGTTTTAATTTTGATTTGGAAATATTTTTGTTGTATGATATATAGTGAAATCTTATCTGATAATTTCTTGGAAATCTTTTGATTTTAGATTAGAAAAGCAAAATATTGATTATTTGATTAAAAAGAAATTCTTGTTAAGTCATAACGATAAAGAAAAAAAAGTAACGTTATCCAAATGATAAAAAGAGAAAATCTATTTTTCATTATTACCACGATGTTTGTTAACAAATATGTTTTGATTGTTTGACTGATTTTTCTTTTGGTAAAAACAAAAGATTTCAAGTTCAATTTATCAGAATTAAATTTCTTAATCGATCCTTTGAATTATGTTTTCGACAAAGATCGATTTCTTCAAATGAATCTTCTAATTATTTAATATCTAACAGAAATTTATTCTTTTCTAAATATTTCAAATCCTTTTAAAATAAATTCTATTTACACTTTCAACCATTTTATATAAATAGATTTCAAATTAAATTAGAAAAAACACGTTGAAGATGAATTATATTTAAAAAGAGTTTTAAATCAAATCAATCATTCTTATCAATACAAATGTGAAAGACTAAATGTTTTTTGTCTTAGTTTTGTTAACTTTGTTTCTTATTCATCGATCTTCAATTCCGATGATGAATGAAAAATTAATTTAAATATTCATGATCTTGAGAAACTTTGGATCCTCTTTTATCATTTATTTAATAGAGAAATAAAACATTTCGAATGAGTTAGAGTTTCAGTAGAGTCAAGTGTCAATTCATTTCCATTTTAATAATTGAATATCGAACTAATATCATTGCTTTCAATCTCAATTAGATTTGGATTCTGTTTTCAAAGAAGAACAATCAATCGAGTTCTTCATGATCTCTCAGTTTTCATCGATAGATTAAACTGTACTTGATAAATTAGAAATATCGATCTATCACTGTCTCACGAGAAGAAGCTCAATGACTGATGAGAATATTTTATTTGTTCTAACTATCTGAATCTGTAATACTTATTGCTGATAGAAAACACAACGACCTAAGTATTGTTTACATGATTAGTCCATGCAGAGTGTATTTTAAATTCATTCTTCTCCTTCTTATAAGGCTCTTGTTTTTCTTTTGAATTAGTATGACATATCACTCTTTCTTTTATCGAGACAATTCTTTAATAACACAACAAATAAAAAACCTTTTACAGAAAACATTTCTTTAATGACGAAAAATGATAAACTTGAACAATTCAAAGAACTTATGGACTTTTGTAAAACTCTAACGGATCATACATCTTCTCAGGTTGTTTTTCTTTCAAGAAAATATTCCATTCCTTTCGTTTTCAAACGAATGTGACGATCGACTATCGCAGATACACATTTACATTAAATATGCAAATATGATGTTTACAAATTCTAACTCATCTTGCAATCTCTGCAAGTCAAGTATGATTACGATCACCATCCAAGAAGGTCCAGCAAGTAGTCATTCCATCTGTTTCTATACTAATCCAATAAAGCTTGCGACCATAACCGCAAAATGTATCATTTAAATCACTCACTTTCACTCAACAAAGGATCCGATCTACCACCCTATCATGAGCTAGTGTCATCTTTTAGGAGCCTTTGACGCGCAGTGGTCAGTGATTTATCCAGAGGGGTGCCCGGGGGGGGGGGGGGGGGGGCCCCCCCCCCCCCCCCCCCCCCCCCCAAAGCTGTCTCCCCCCCCCCCCCCCCCCCGAAAGTTTACGATTTTGTACTGAGTCCTGTGTATTGGCCCCTCCGGAAAATAGGTTTCGCCTCCTGGAACTTGCATTCGCCCCTCCGGAAAAAAAATCCTGGATAAAACGCTGACAATGATGCCAGTTAATGCGGCTCACTACATATCAACAAAGCCAGCAATGCACTGTGATATGGTTGATCGATGACACACAATCCAATCAATCAATTCACTTTAGTTTTTGGGCAATTCGGACTTGTAAATGGTATTAATCGGCGATATTCGAATGAGTAACAGTTAGATTCTTAAGTGGCAATGAATAAAAAGTCGCGGAACCTTCGCTAATATCGTCGAAATTTCATAAAGCTTTCAATATATAGATAGCGACAGTTTAGTGTACTTTTTTCGTCAATAACTGATAATAGTTTTACAGATAAAGATCAAAATTTCTATCCGGTCAATTGCTTTCTTGCAATATAGCTAATCAAAGTCACAATAATACGGTTAATCATAGACTCTGACTACATCTCACCAAATCTTCTGATCCGCTATACGATATCGTTCTTCAGTGTGGCCTGCTAAAGCCAAACAAAACTTGAAAACTATCGCCATCAAAATATGGCACTATTACCCATTAGCGCTTATGAGGACCTGTGCTCCATCGTCATGCTGCTCCACGATGCCATAAAGGCAGGTAAGTGACGAAAATGTCGACATTTTTTATGCGCCCAAAGCCCATATATGACGGGTGAAAATTTCTTTTTGAAGTGAAAACGAGTTTGAATGCATTAACTTTGACCATGTCAGTTTCTCTCGAAAAAGAAATTTTCCTAACACGTTATAATGTACGCTTTTGACGTGTAGGAAGGTTGATTTTCTTCTTCCTTGCCTGGCTTAATCCTCACCCTATCACTGAACAACTTATGTATCGCATTATGATACAGCCAGCTAATATAGCTCGTTAAAGATCAACAAGACCTACGACTCTCTGTAATATGACAAATGTTATACCACGCATCAAAGTAAAGTAAAATCTGTGATGTAAAATGACCTAACTAGTCATAATCGCTGCCCAGCTAATGCTACCGACTTTATCGCTCAGAGAAGTCTGCAATATACAACGATATGCTCAATCAATGCAGCTCGCTAGTGATCAACAAAGCTAATGAGTTTCTGTTCTATGGCGAATGCATGCTGCGTACTACAGCTCAACTAAACCTACTAAATATTCCCATATAGTTACCGAAGCCGACGATCTACTGCGATGTGGCAAGTCCATACCAACTACTTTCATGATAAAAGATGTACAAGCATTATATGATATATTTGGACCCGACATGCACGGGACACGTGGGCACCCACAGTTCCCCATGAGATTTCTCGGGATGATGGACCATTTTGAAAAATCCACGGGTCGGCACGGGGGAGAAAGTTTACGGAGCAGGGAGAATAAATGCCTCCCTCCCCTCCCGTGAATCTCTAAGCTGAACCTTATTTTAGTCCAGCTGGTATTATTACTAGTCAGAGAAGGTCAAATCCTATCCCATGTAAAATCTATGACATCATCACAACTCGATCCTTTCTTTCTGATAGCAGTAATGAATCTTATTTATGAAAAATAGATCTTTTTGACTTGTGATATAAAGATATGTGAGAATAATGGTCCTATTGAACATATAAATTACTCGACGAGATAACCGCAGAGAAACTTGTCCAAATAGTTCATATAGGGCCGAAATCCTGCACTCATATAATTTCGTCGGAAACTTGCTCGATGCCTTTTATCCTTCTCTCAGGTTCCTGAGGAAACTTTTAGTATTGATCGTCCTTGTCAAGTTCCATAGTAACTATGAGAATGTACTCGCCAATCTTTGATCTTGGTTGTTCAGGTCTGTGATGTAGGGGTTTCTGTAATGGTGAGAGGCTGGAAAAGCTTCATTTACAACTCATAATCGGTATTTTTGTTGCGAAAATATATGAGTTTCATAGAAAACGTTGATATTAATTACGGTACGGCAATCGGCGGGGCACGGGGATGGATTGTCACGCACCGCGGCGCGGCGGGGGGGGGGGCGAAAAAATGGTGCCCCGTGCATCTCTTATTTGGACTATGTCGTGCTCGGAGATAATTTTGCGAAATCTGCGATGTATTCTATTGTGGCTAGTTATCACCGTCTCCTACCGCGCCAAGAACCTCCCAAGCTCTATCATATGGCTCATAAATGGAACCGGTAGAGATTTTTTTGACCAGACCAGTCGGTTTATATTTATGGTAAACTGGCAAAAACCGGCCAGTTATCCAGTATGATTTCACCGGTAAAAAACCGCGTGAATATATGTCTCAAGATCTTTTTCACGAGAATTCATTTGTCACAATATAGATTTTCAGTATGTCGATCATTGTGGAACAAAACGATCTTCCGATAAGATCTGTGTAAATGGTTTTTATCAAATTCCAGATTTGGATCTTATGTACTAATATGAATGATATATTATTTCCCAAAAATAACAAAAAAACCCGGTGAAAATCGGTCGCTTTGAAAAATTCGACCGGACCGGGCCAGCAAACGACCAAACCGGTACCGGTCTTGCCGATTTTGCTGGACGGGCTCCAATTATGATATGGCCCCATTTACCTTCTTCGACTTACGAGAACCTCTGATCCGCTGAAGTCCAGCAAACTACGTATGCTCTCACAACCAAATTAAGCATAACCACCCGTTAGCATGTAACAGACTACTACAATGTGGTTAGTAAATGCCACCCGCAACGATATGGCAAACAATCTAACTGCCTACAATATGAATAGGATATACCGCGTGAGATGATTCACTAAATCCTATGATAAAATATGGTACAGTTGGTCTTAGTCGGTGGCCACAGTCTAGCAAACTATGTCATCCTCCTTCATATGGCTATTCAATAGTGCCCTTCACAGCTCAGGAGAGCCTCGTATCCATTATTATATGGATTGTCACTGCCGTTGGTCAAAGTGCAGCCCAGGGCTTCGGAGTCGGTAGAAACAGCTCAGCGAAATTCGATCAATCACGTTAGTCTTATTCATCAAAGCCAGTGGCCTAAGTTCAAGTCACCTGCTTTTACCTACAGTTTGCACTGTTAGAATCTTCTGTTCACGGGACTATTACCAAATGAAAACGTTCTTTTCCTAATCAATCTTGAGCATATCCATCATATGTTATACACTTCTCCAAAAAACATCATTCACAGTCTGATTTTCTTTGCTTAACTCATTCCATCTTTTGATTATTACTACTAAAAAAATTCGTTGTATTTTCTTATCTCTCAGTCAGCTTTACATCGATTAACTTTATTGACAGACACTATGTACGAGTAGAATTATTCATAAATAATAGATATCGGCAAACAATGGCAGTAAAGGAGTAGAAAAAATGATAAAGTCTTTACCTGATAGTTCTTCGATGATCACCAAAATTATCCACAGTTTGAACATGCGAAGCGATATCATCGTAAACAAGTGAAACACTTTCCGTGTTCAACTGGTTCAACGATGATACAAGATAAGAATATCAAAGTGAAAAACTTTAAATAAAAGACTTAGATCGATATACTTTTTCAAAGAAAATGAGAAGAAGAAATGAAATGAAGCTAACAACTGCTCACTCTTTATATTTCCCTCCCTCTCTCTTCGCCTTCGCTCGTTTGCTTACTTGTCTATTATTCATTGACTTCAACAGGCATGACTTTGACAGGAGAATTTTGTAAAGGTTAAAAACAAATAGTACAAAAAATTCCGATAGTAAATAGAACAATACTTTCGGGGAAGAAATTCTTTCTTCCATTATATATCTTGCTTGTAACAAAAAAAAACTCAATAAATGTCTGTTTACTCTACATTGTTGAAATTGTTATTTTACGTAAATTGATTTATCATTAAATAATGATCAATGATACACAGATACAATCCAGATCTATTGAGTTTTCATGTTTGAAGAGATTTATCAATACCGTCAATGAATCAAAATAAAATGTGTTTTTTCTGAAATTTTTCTTCATGCCATGACTTTAGAAAAGAGAAAATGAAGTATAACTTCATCTGTATTTGATTTTGTGTGAAAAAATTTTGAGAAAAAGAAAACGATTTATTCGAGTTTCATATTGATAAAACTATTAATTATAATTATTCTTTATACGATGAAGAAATTTAAATGATTTTTTAGTCATTTTAAATTTCTCTAGAGAAAGAGACTATAGAGAAACTGCTAGAAAAAGAGATGTATGATTTAGCAGTGTCAACATAATGAAGATGAAACCTTTTAATAGGATAAGAAAATGAGCAACATTAAAAGGACATGTCTCCGATCAAATGTTTACAAATCATTGACGTCAATCGGAACTGTGTCCACTTATTTGTTTCATCATGTCAGGCTTTTTTATAAGTTTTTCTTTCGTTTTTTAATTGTTTACTTATTTGTATTGAGCTATTTCTTCTTCGATTTTGGCAAATTTTTATCACAAACCGTACGTATTTCATACAGATGATAGTTTAAGAGGAATAGATGTGATATTGTTATCTTTGAATGCGAATGATTTACTGTCGAACCTAACTATCGGATCAAGGCCGTCGAGAGATGTCAAGTTATTATTTATATATAAGAATGATTTTCAGCGAATACTATTTTTTTCAACATACAATCACCAACGACCATCTATCCAGTGAGTAGGCCTAGGTGAGTTAGGTACATATCCAAAGTATCAGGTCTCAATTTCGGGGTGATTGCGTCTTTTACAATAAACTGTTGGTTAGGAACAATATGAATACAATAAACATCTTCTTTGTTTATTTAGTATGGAGATGCTTAGTTTGATATTACTACAAGTTTAGTGTTATTTACATAAGAGTACTTTTTATACTTCACTTCGAAATGTTTCCGACACGAAAAAATAGCCATAGCAGCCTACGTAAAATGGAATGTAAGTACTAAAAACGGCTACGGTTCTCACAAAAACATCAATTTGCACTTCTTCAACACTTAGTCGTGTATTATTTGTAATCTGTTGGTAAACGGATACAAATGACAACATGAAAGTAAAGATGATGTAGATAATAATGTCAATAAGGAGCATAAAAATAAGTTGTCGATCTTTTGATTGAATACAGTGTAAGACATCATCACCTGAATCTCTACTTCTAGATAACACAGAAATAGCTCTTAAAAAATTGTCTTTTTTCGTAGATCAAACATTTTTTTCTAATGTCAAAGATTATTTCTAAGCAAGGACAGGCATCAGATTGTTCTACTAAGTGCAAATGCGTTTGTCTGTGTGTGTGTGCCAGGGTCAAAAGAACATCGAAAATTAATTTCTCGGAAAAGATATTTCTAGAGGTTTTTCGATACGGGGAGCTCGAATCTGGGGTCTATTGGGTGACCATGGGGTAGGGGGTGGGTAAGGGTGGGTGACGATGGGTGAAAGGTCAAAAAAACATCGAAAACTAGTTTTTCAAAAAACAGATTTCTAGAGGTTTTTTGACGCGGGAAGTTCGAATCTGAGGTCAATTGGGTGACCGTGTGGTAGGGGGTGGCTGAAGTTGGGTGAGAGGTCGGAGATACATCGAAAATTGATTTTTCACGGTTTTCATTTTTTTTTCCAGTAAATGTGAAGTAAATGTATTTCTACGAGGATGGGTTAAGTGAGTTGTGGAACGAGGGTTAGTTGTTGAGAAATGAGAAATCGTGGTTGATATTATTGACCGATCAGAAATCACGGGTCACAAAACTGTAGAATCAGGTCTTGAGAGTGTGATTATGAGTGTGGGTTGGTGCCGGGTTTGGATGATGGTGTAGAAAGGCAGATGAGGATGTATAATGGCAAAATAATCACATCCAGCAACACCACACACCCCTGAAATGCGTTATATGAAGCAGAGAGACTGTTTTCTTTTCTCGACTGTAAGGAGGGTGTAGGAGAAAACGTCTGTCTGTTTGTCTGGAGAGGTCGAAGAAACGTTGGTGTCAACAAAACAGATTCAATCAGAATACCTTTCAAGATCCTAAATCGTAAGTGTTCGGGAGCGGTGGATCCGATGGTACCATTGGTTTCTCGATATGCTTCCCTCGCCCACTACATGGGAAACTATACATAGAGAGTGCCTATTCTTAAATGATCATGTAACAACAATAGACGAGTGACGGATAGAGTCAAAAGCATTTAGGATCATTGGTTAGCAGTGGTGAGTCGGGAGTGGCGGACCGAAGGGACGCCGACGACCGACGAGCTGCTGCGGATGTAGCACTGTTCATGGACGTGCTCGTGTATGAACTAGAAAAAGTTTTTGTTGGATTCATGAAGTCACCCGGCACAATGCTGAAAATTGAGAAACATTTCAACAAACTATAGTATAGGGAGTAGAAAGAGTGCATCTCCATGATTTATTTTTGGAAGTATAGTAATCGCAAACAGTCGAGGGTCTAGCGAGTCGCCCCGACGCGCGTTACTTGTTATTTAACACAGTACTATGTCATCGATTTACTTGCATGCCCATTAGAATACTGCGCGAGTTGAGCTTTTCGAAACCACACTCGACTCGAAAAATTGCATTCATTTCTTCTAATCCATTGGATCACTTTATTTCAATACTTTGTATATAAAAAGTAGAAAGTTTATAAGGATAACAAATATATAAGAAAGGCTCCGTTTAAACGAAAAATATTCATCACAATTGAGTGTCTTATCATATTCGAGCCTGAGTGTGAACTTTAGAAATATCGTATATATTCTTATGTTATAAAAATAGAGAGTAAGAGCATATGGAATGAAAATAGGAATGCACCAGTATGTAAAACATTGTAAAATCAGTAACGGGAATAAGAACTACGAGTTACTATCAGTTTTCTATTGCATTAGAATCAGAAAATTAAACTGAGTCCGAAAAAGTATCAGTATAGCTATACTGATACATACCTGTATGACAAACTGTAACCCGGTATTCTTCAAAGCTCAACCTACATCCGACCCGCACCCGTCGACAGGTTGGCTAGGGTTGCAGTACCCTAATGCCTGTACTGTTTATAGGATATATTTCGCATAAATATAAGGAATAACAAGGCAATTTGACGTGTAAAGCAGATTAAATATACAATTACTTAATACTGTTGGTGTATGATAAACTGCTGATTTATGAAAATAAATAGTAAAAACTTTAAGCAAGGACTGTTATAGCATGACTGCAGTAATCAGACGGTGTATATATAACTTATCAAGGGACTGATTTAATTCTTACACGATCGGAAAAATGACCCATGCCCGTTCAGTCCGCGTCTACCGGTTCCATCTCTGATTTGTCATCCTACTTCCTGAATAGTATAAACGCTTACTAGACTTTATTCAAAGGTTCATTTTTAGAAATAATATCTCCAACATAACGAGCACCATATTTAGTCAAATGTGCTCCATCATGTGATATTAATTTACCATCACGAGTAAAAAGTGGACACGTCTTATTAAATCCATTACAAATCATTTCAATAATATTAACAAATATTGATTTATCTAGACTTTTTTCTAATAAATTATTAACATTAACAATTTCAATTCTTGGATATTGATATTGTTTAATTCTAAATTCCGTTGATTTATTAACATATAATCCTAGATTTATTTTTCCAAAATGTTTCGAACCAATAACAAATATTTTCTGATCTTGAGGGTGGGTGTGGGTGTGGGTGTGGCTGTCGATCTAAACAACGTACCCACACTGAGACCCACATCCACACCTACACCCACACCCACACCCACCCACACCCACAATCACACCCACAATCACACCCACAATCACACCCACACCCTCACCCACACCCACACCTACACCTACACCCACACCCACACCCTCACACACACCCACACTCGAATTAAAGGTAAAGCATATTTAATATCATTTGCATTTGTACATGTTTGTCTATGTTTAACTTCAATAAATTTTCTTCGATCTTCTAAACCAAGATAAATTTGACAACGTGAATAAACAAAAGCAACTCGAATTTCATAATCAATTAAATGTTTTCCTTCTATAATAACATTATAAAAATCTTGAGCAAAACTATCACCAATAAGTACAACTCTTTTATTTAATGTTATTGTTCGATTTGAAAATGTTTTACTTTTCCGTTCTAAAGCATTAAAATTTCGTACAACATATTGCCAATTATCATATTTTTTTAAATCCGATAAATACGTATCATTGCTTTTATTCACTATCATTGATCGATTATTTGCAGTTTGAATTAAAAATATGGCAATAAACAAAGTTATCACAAAAGCTAAACCAGACATCAAAAATATTTTCTGTCGACTAAAATATTTTTTATTCCGAAATGGTTGTTCAATAAAGAAATAACTGAATATACTAAGTGGAAAAATAGAACTAACCACGATAATAATATTTAATGTTTGATTTGATTGTAAACGAGTAAATGCAAGTAATGGTTGATGCCAAAGATAAGCACTATATGATAAAAGACCAATCCATCGTAATGGACGTGTACTTAATACATATCCAACTAATGTATTTTTATTTGCAAAAAGAATTATTAATGTTGCTCCACATGTTGGAATTAATGTATAACAATTTGGAAACGGAGGAATATTATGATTATCAAAAAATAATACAGAAATGACGATCAGTAGAAGACCAAACAAGGAAAATAATTCATTTGATTTGCGAGAGAATTTTCTAATATACAAAAAGAATAGAGGTGGTGGCTTAGCATTAGAACTGAGAATAATGCATTGATTTATTTCTTAGCGAAAGTTAATTAATGCTGAATTTTTGGAATTAATAGTAGCATTAGTGGTACTAATGCCAATTTAGTGCATAAATCGATATTAAATGTTTCCTTTACAAAAATAAACCAGTGCATTATTTTTACATTAATGCTAAGCCACCACCCCTAAAAAAGAAAGTTATTTTAATATGAAAAAGAAAATTTTACTTGTTTGTATCATTATCTTGTAAATAAAATGCAATAAAAGCACCAAATAATAATTCCCAAATACGTCCTATAGGTAAATAAAATGATGCATAACGATATTGAGAAAACATTTGAAATTCTTTAATTAACATATATTGAAAATTGCCACCCCATTGACTAAGAAATAAACTCACTACTGCTGAACAAATCAAAAGAATAATTAAATAAAATTTTTTTCGAAGAAATAAATAACATAATATTGGAAAGATAAAATAAAATTGTTCTTCTACAGCTAAACTCCATGTATGAACTAATGGATTTAATTCAGTTAAGTCATTAAAATAACCATCATCTTTCCACCAAAAATAAATATTTGAACTAAGACATATAATAGAAATTAAAGTTTCTCCAAATTCTTTTAAATTTTCAGGTAACATACAATAATAAGCAAATATACTACTTAAAAATAATATAAAAAATAATGCTGGAAGAATACGACGACATCGACGTTCATGAAAACTTATCAATGAAAATGTTTCTTCTTCACATTCATGATATATAACGGATGTTCTCTCGACTGTAGTGAGGGTTGTATGAAATAAAATAGTTTGTCTGTTTGTTTGTGGCAGGTCAAAGGTCAAAAAAACAAAAAAAACATCTACTTCCAAAATATACCAGCGCAGGTCTAATACAGCGAGTCCGGGTGAAATAGGGTAAGGGTGGGTGAAATAGGTCAAAAGTGGGTATTTTGGGTGGAAGTGGGTCAAATGGGTCAAACGTGGGTATTTTGGGTGAAATGGGTCAAACGTGGGTATTTTGGGTGGAAGTGGGTGAAATGGGTCAAAAGTGGGTGAAATGGGTCATAACTAGGTGGGATGGGTGAAATAGGGCAGAAGTGAGTTGAATGGTTGAAATAGGTCAGAGGTGGGTGGAACGGGTGAAATAGGTCAGAAGTAGGTGATATGGGACAGAAGTGGGTGAAATGGGTGAAATGGGTGAAATAGGTTAGAAGTGGGTGAACCTGAGTGGAAGCGGGGGAAATAAGGTAGAGGTGATTGAAATAGGGTGAGAATGGGTGAAATAGGTTATAAGTGGGTGAAACAGGGTAGGAATGGGAGAATTAGGGTGGAATACGGTGGAACGGTGTATTTTTTGGTGGGTGAATCCGGGTGTGTAAATGAGTAGGTGTCGATTTGCTTGTTGTTTTTATTCATTACTGATATCCATATCCATAATCAGACCCAAAGCTACCCACACCCGATCAAATATCGAGGGTCATAGTCCTGACCGAGCTGGAGTCGATAGTTGTCAGGTTGATGGTTCGGAATTTAAGATGTATAAAGTTTATGAATTGAGGCTCGAAGGTGTGTGGGTGTGACGGTGGGTATAAGTGGTGAGGGTATGTAGATGTGAGTTGGAAACTCTAGCAGTGGCAGAGGTTGTACATGCAGAATGAGTGTGGGTGTTGGTGAGTGGGTATCAGAGTCGTGGCGGGTGTAGATGGTGAAGAGTGGTGGTGTCTGTGGGTGAGTTCATGTAAGTGCAGCAGCGAGTGAGGTTGTTGAATGAGTGCGGCTGTGAGTGGCTGGATGTCAGCGTGTGTTTTGTTCTGATTTATTAGCGGTATTTATAGTTACATCGAAATTCTCGGTCACACCCAGTCCTACACTCTTACAGTCGAGGGTGAAGTGAGTCGAGACGGCGAACGTTACTTGTTTTATTATAGACCAAATTAAATGTATATCGAATTTTATCTAGCGATTTAACTTTAGTTTCAATTTTTAATAGAAATGACTTTATACCCAGGTCGAACAATCCGGCACGGAAACGGCCGATTCCGTGGTACTCCGGAGATTTCACGGAAGCAGTATTCTCGTTGAACGGATCCGGTGACCAGATTTATCTGGTTTGGGCCGGACCCGACAGGAACATGTGAAAATCGACAGCCGGATGCGGTTGCCTTACTTCTCCATCGGATTCCTGGCATTTTCCGGACGGGTTCCGCCCAGAAATGGCGAGTTTCCTCAGGGATTTCACCGGAAGTTTATGAAATCCTGCTTCAGGAACTATTGTCCTGGGAAATTGACATATGAATAATTTAAAATGAATATTAATTTTTTTATAATTATTTCAATATTATAGTTAACTTAGCAAAACAATATGTGTAAATTACTTTTATCTCATGTTGAAAATAAAATTTCGTGTGATGGAAAAATACACAACAACATTTATCATCAAATATGAACAAAAAAGAAGTATTTCTCTAATAAAATGAAGGTTGATAGTTACATAAAATTATTCATACTTATACCTTTAATTTTTTTCTATATGTTTTTTTTTAAATTTGATGTTTATTACAAAATATTTCATTTAGAAAATCATTCAACAAATGATAAATGTAAAGATATAATTAGAAATTTATTTCTTGATTTTTATTATTTTTTGTTTTTCTAAATTAATCGAAATCTTTATTTAATAAAATTCAATCAATTCTATTAGAATATGTTGATAAAAGACGAAATCAAGTTTCAAAATACTTTTTTTCAAACCGCCGTTTTAAAAATTTGCAGTTATTTATTTCATGTCTTTTTTCGATGAATATAATTAAATTTATTCAAACAACTAAAAATATATCAGATAATGCTTTCTGTTATAACTAACCACGTGCACGACAGAATAAACAAAATTATCGAAAAGATAAAACATTTAGTTTATATTTGTAAAGATATATATACACGATAATAACATGATGTTATATCTACTAGTAAAATGGGTATACCCATCTGAGTAAATATTTAGCCAGTCACGTACACTTGTGTATACATAACCGACTGGCCATGTAAACGTGTGTACATAGTTACTTTCTCAAGTTCATATCGAAAAAAATAGATAAACAGATATTCATTTATACTGTTAACGTCTATTCAAACACATAGCGACAGCAAGCAACAAAACATGTTTTATATGTAATAAAGACGAAACAACATTTCGTTGTGAAGGACGAATAACAAGCGGCATTGATACGGTTCATCGTTATTCACCGTAAACGACCTGAATCGGCGCCGTTTCCATTCCGGCAAAAATACATATACAATTTTGGGTTTACGGATTGCGGTCTTAACGACGGGAAACGACATTCGTTCACAGTCGTTTCATGCCTTATACGGCGCGGAAGACGGTGCTCGGAGTGTACAGAACCGACTAGCCACGCACATGTGTTTTCATATACACACTTTGTTAAGTTTATATCTAAGAAAATAGATAAATATATATTCATTTCTATTATAAACTTTCATTAAAACAACATGGCAATGGAAATGCAAAAGCTACAATACATGTTTTACATGCAATGCAGAAGAAGAAACATTTCGTTGTGAAGGACGAATAACAAGCGGCCTTGATACGATTCATCGTTATTCACCGTAAACGACGGGAAACAACATTCGTTCACAGCCGTTTCATGCCTTGTACGGCGTGTAAGACGATGCTCGGAATCATCGACCTAGGTATATGGTGAAGGATATGGATCCGATCAATTCATGAAACCGTCTAGTTTATATTCCGACGAAGAAGGAAGTCTTAATGTTTCGGATGGTTTAAAAAACCAAGTTCAAAAATTTCAAACAATTTTTTTATAAAATGTTTATATTTTTGGTAAAAAAAATGTTTTTTTGTTAAATAAAAAAAAGAAAAATAAAAGAAAAATCTTTTTAGTTTTTTTCATCAAAATTGAATTAAATTTGATAACTTTGGTGAAGACATCGAAAAAAATAAATGTTCAGTTCTCTTGTTTTAAGTTTATATAAGACAACAATCTTATTTCCTTAGAAGCGATTAAATAACTTATAGATTATACATGAATTTTAGTTCATTCTTTGTCTTATAATCTTTTCAGTTTATCAATATTCTCAAGTTTTTCATTCGTAACAACTCATTATTTGATCTCATAGAACGATTTTAGTAGCTTGAGACCACTATCATCAGATATCCAAATAATAATTTCATCTATAAAAAGCTGATGTATCACTTTGTTAGTTTCAATATATCACAAGTACCACGTTTCGCAATCTCAAAAGTTTTGTTATAACTAGTACGAGTAGGGATCTTCGTTACACAGATCGTTTTAAATCTCTTGACAATAGTGCCATGGGTATGGGGTTATTCAGTATTCACAACCACCATACCTGCAAGAGTAATAAAAAACAAAGGAATAGAATTTTATTGATATTTTGAGAAAAATGTAAAAACAATTGTCTGTTAAAACCATTTTGAGGGTGTGGGTAATGAATGAGAAGAATACACACCAGCACCGTTTTCTTATTTGTATAGTTTTAATTAAGAAAATAAATATATGTTCAATGTACATGACTGAACAAAAGAAAGAATATTATTACATATACATATATGATTGAATAAAGAAAAATAAATAATAAAGATTTTTCTTTACTTTCAATAGAACGAATTTAATATGAAATAAATATTATTTATAATAGGAAGGATTCTTTGTTGAAATTCTTCAACATATTTTCGACGATTTAATAAATAAAACGATATTTTTTATCATTTCATAATCTATCTACTGAATTTTTGTTGAATTCTTAACATCTAAAATTGATTAATGATCAATTTGTATTGATTTTATATATCGAATTGTTTGATCGGAATATATCACATAACTTATTCTCTGAAGATCCTCGTATTTTATTTTTTTTCTTCTGTTGTTATTCATACGGACTTATAAGTATTTCTTTCTTTGAATATTTATAATCTTAAGAAACGTGATTTTCATCGAATCTTTCTCATCAAATCGATATTGATAGGACTTAAATTTTTTTATTAATTCTCACATATGAATATTTTTATAAAAAATCATATTTTATTTTTGAAACAATTTGTTAAATTTTCAAAGATTCTCTTTAGATAATATTTGTATAAAAATAATATTGAACAAATTTTGTTGTTGCATTTTAAAAATCTGATTCTGATTTTAATATATCATATTATTCTTTGTTCAGTAATAAATAAAAATAAATTTATCGGTATTCTTTTAATTTAAACAATTAAATTGATTTTTCTTAAATATTCATGATTATTATGATATTTAATCATTAAAAATATTTTATTTAATCTTTTTATAAATAAAATAAATTTAATTTTTGTATTTCTCATAAAAATATTTTTCATTTAAAAATTCTAAAAAGTTTATTGAAACAAACATTCAATTTTCACATATGAATCTATACTGAGATATATAAAAATAAGTTTTGGACAATATCCGTTTATATACAATACTTGCGTTTTTATGATTAAATCTGGTCTTATTTAGTTATTTATTTCGATATCGTTATTCTTTTGTGAAACACGATCTAAAAGGAGTGTTGAAGTGTTTAAGAGCAGAAAACTAACCACGCCCCCTCCCCCCCACAGACCGTGACCGACACGTCGAAAGACCATCACAGACCGTGACCGACACGTCGAAAGACCATCACAGACCGTTACCGACAAAGCATCGTAGAACGTGATCGACAGGTCCACAATGACTATCAGGAACTTTGACAGATGTAACGGTGAAACAACATTAATTACAATAGGTACGCTTCAAAGTCATAAATGTAAGCTATGTTCCCCATAAGCAACAGCAGTTACATCGTGTTTCACATTTTTAATCCCTAAGGGATTGCGCTGAAAGCTTTTTCAATTAAATCATTTCTATTTATCAATATTTTTAATTTTGAAAGAGCTTCTTTTGTTGAAAAATTCATTTGATATTTTCAATTTCATCAATTCAGAAAACGAAATTACTGAAGATTTACATTTACGAGGGAACCTCACCAAGTGATACCCTCCGTTTGACCTCATATTCTGCCCATATGTAAGGCTCATATAGTAGATGAAAACCCCAAAAGGGTTCGTGCCATTGCCCACTTGCTGTTGAGATATTGTGTTTCTAAGGTATTGAGATAACCTAATGCCGTGGTCACCCTCAGGGAAGTGCGAAAAGCTAATGTTGGAGTTTTGACGTGAAACTTTGTATAGAATGAGGTCTTACTGAGAGTAGTTTACTGTGAGAGTTTCAGTTTTCCTGAATATTCATAAATCTAAAAAGGAATGTCATATGATAGCTCTTGTGAGCGATAGCAAGTGACATTATATTTTCATAGCCATATCTCTGAATAGAAACAAGGAGTAAGTCTAACACTTTCATAGTAAACTACTCTCAGTCAGATCGCATTCTATACAAAGTTTCACGTCAAAACTCCAACATTAGCTTTTCGCACTTCCCTGAGGGTGACCACGGCATTAAGTTATCTCAGTACCTTAGAAACACAATATCTCAACAGCAAGCGGGCAATGACACGAACCCTTTTGGGGTTTTCATCTACTATAGGAGCCTTACATATGGGCAGAATATGAGGTCAAACGGAGGGTATCACTTGGTGAGGTTCCCTCGTTAGTTGAAACTATTTCCATCTTTCCAAAAACCTTATTTTTCTTCATTTTCTTTACTTTGTATTTTTTAATTTTGTTTCATTATGAAACACCAAAAATTCATTTGATCAAAAATAAAAATGTGTTTTTTTGTTATTTTTCTTCTTTTTTTTCACTTGAAATGTTTTGTCACATTTCTTTTTTAAATCAAATATACAGTTGGAAAGAAATGCACGAAACATAAAGTGTTATTCTTTTACAAAACAGTCAAAAGAATTTTTTCACTGGAAAAGAAATTCAAAGTGAGACATACGAATCAATTCTTATTTTATATCGAAATAATTTTACAAAACATCAGGAGTTTAGAAATTCGATTATTTGAAATAGTTTTGTTTTGGTAAGTTTTTTTTTTGAAATAGAATGAAAAATGAGCATAGAGAATATCATAGGACAACTATCTTTAGAATGAAGATGAAAATAGACGAAAGTGAGGACATAGCTAAAGAATAGATAGACATGCAATCGTACTCATCCTTTCACATTGAGTGTCCTCACTCATGTTGACATTTGCACTCAAGTCGAACTTTCAATAAACTTTGATTTGATTGAAAAAATTCTATAGATTCAACAGTAGAATAGTTTCTCCTAAATTTATATATGTACTTACATCTATTATATGGATGAGATAATAATGTATTTCTTTAACAAGATCTCAAGACTAAAATTTCTTTTTTATAAGATTATGTTTCGATATTATTTCAATGTGAAAGTGTTTTGTTGCAGCATTGTGTCTGTCAGAACGCTGAATGAGAATTTGTTTTAAATTTGAGAAATGTTTTTTTTGAAATAATATAGATAATAGAGATAGACTACCAATTTATATCAATAGATAGTAATCATGTATCGATCCTGAACTAAAGTTTGGGTGAAGATTTGAGATTTTTATGAGAATTCAATTCTTTTCATTCAATTGTTACAAAAGACTCGTGATGAATATCACGAATTTATGACTGAAAAACAATCGTGATCGGAACAAATCGATCTTATCTATAAGAATTTATCTCAAATAAGTAACTCATTATAAATTGAGATGGTTACAAAAGCAGATGGTTAGAACGTTGTTATTTTATTTCACCAATACCCACACCCACCCTTATATTTTCATTGTTTATTTTAGATTTCATTCAACATATATTTTATTCTTTTATACAAATATAACAGAACACAGCAGTGTAATGAATTGCTTTAGTGATATCGACTGTTCATTTAAGAAATTAACACCTGTTTATGGATTTCATGTTGCAAAACTTGTTCCAATTGAAGAAGCATTACAATCAGTTGAATCTCAAATTGATGAATTACCATATTTTATTAAAATAGCTAAAAAACATTGTCATTATCCATCAGAACATGGTTTAACACATGATGAATCAGCATCAATATATATTTATACAATGGAATGGGGTGAACAAACTTTATATCGTGTTTTAAATAAAACTTTAAGAAATGAAAATAGGGATTTATTAAAAGTATGGTTTGCTTATATAAAACTACTTGATACAGCATTAAATAAATTACCAACTGTAAAAGAGGTTGTATGGAGAGGTATTACTGCAGATGTTGGGAAAACTTTTCATGAAAATGACAAAATAACATGGTGGAGTATTAATTCATGTTCATCAAAAGTCAATGTTATCAAAGGATTCCTTGGAAATAAAAGTAATTCTACAATGTTTTTAATTGAAGCATTGAATGGAAAAAAAGTATCTGGTTATACACAATTTGAAAGTGAAGATGAAATCATTTTAAAAATGGGAACAGAATTTCGTGTAAAAAGTAATGCATTAGATCATCCAAATGGATTATATGTCGTTCATTTAATTGAAATTGATGATGATTATAATCATACAACATTGGCATCATCAATCAATCAAATGAAATTAACAACAAATCAGAAAAGTTCAAGTAAGTTTATTTCAATTTCAATTTTCATTCAAAACTGAAACGTTTTGTGTGAATTGAGAAAATGAATCTTTTTTTACTTTTTCATCGATATAAACAAACTTGTGGAATACTTTGTCCAGTTTTTGTTAAAAATAGATAATATCGCTTTTTCATTCGATTTAAATTAGTTTATTTCACTAAAATTTTTCTTACTTTTCAAGTGAAAATGAAAACTGAAAGATATGAAAGTGATGTTCACTTCTGTTATAAGATGATTCTTTTGGAATAATTATATTTATTCTCAAGAAAAATCATCAAAATGAAAGATTCTCTTTATAACACAATAGATGATGTTATGAGACTCCTATGAATCCATCAATAGATTTTCCTCTTAAAACTATTAAGATTTTTATGATACGAATATTTTAGATTTACTAAGAATTAGAGATTCTAAAAAACGCAACGCAATGAAACAATAAGTATCATTGTAATAGTACATGAGGGTGTGAGTGAACATTTTCACCCACACTCGTAACTTATTTGTTTAAATAAAATTCGTTTATTAATCTTGAGTGTGGTTCTTGGGGGGCAGGGTGGGTGTGAGTGAGAGTGAAAAGGATAGTACTCCCGCTCACCACACTTATATCCACACTCTTACTCACACTCTCACCCACAGCCATCCTCACACCCGAGCCGTAACCGAGCCCGAGAGTCTTGGTCAGGGCTCCGTACATCCCTAGATATAGTGAACATTAATGAGAAACAATATTTTCACACAGTAATTATAGGCTATACAAAAATAACGTTTTTGATTTAAGTTCTAGTTCAAAAATCGATGACAGATAAGACGATCAAAGTCTTTTTCGAACAATTTGGGGAAACTGTTTATGTCCCGATGTCACTAGTATCTACAATAGAAGATGTTATTAAATACGTTTGTCAAACAAGTTTGCGTACTATGGATATCGATTACAATAATTATTATCTTGCTTCAAAAAAGAATGATGAAATGTTGGATAACAACAAGACATTGGAGGAAGCCAATATTCTTGCAATAGATGATCCTGATCTTCGACTGAGTTTGAAAAAAGCAATTAGAGAGCGATTGAGGATGGTTACATTAAAAAAATTGAGTGAAAATCAAGATAAAATAGGAATTAATCCACAAACACAACCTGATGATATCCAATGCAAAAATATAGACTTCAACAATGCGACGGTAAGTTTCCATGATACTTCAGAATTCTCTTGAATGATTGTGCTCACTTATATCATCTATAAATATAATGATTTTGTTTCTTGTTTAAAGTCAACATTCGACTGTTCCGAAGGTACCAACTCAAATGAACTAATGTTCAATGATGAAAAGTCAGCAGTTTTGAATAAATCAGAATATACTCCAATAAGTGAGAACTTAGAAACGAATAATTCTAATCCAAGTCCAGGTTTACCTACACCTTCGTTACCTGCACAAGATGTATCATCTAAAGATGCTGTAAATGTATTACAAAAAGAAGATTTAGCTCATAATTATCAAAAAGTACAAAAGAAGATTAAGGAAATAAGTGAGAAGATCACTCGTGATCCTGTTTTACGTCAAAAGATTGTCGAAAGGTTTAATGAAATAAATATTGTCGTGTGTGGTTCACCACGAGTTGGAAAGAGCACTTTAATTAATGCTATATGCCAACAGAATCTGGCTAAAACACATCCGGGACTACATTCCTGTACAAATATAACCTCACCCTACTATTTGAAAGGTAATACTACAGTTGGTGATGAAAATATAAACTATCAATATAACTTTTGGGACACTCCAGGATTCGAAAATTGGGACCATGCAGGCATGCCTACTTGTTTAGAACGTATTAAACAAAAAATTAAGTCCGACATTATATGTATCATCTATTGTACATCGCCTGGTTCTTTCGCCAACCTTCGACAACTCGACTGGTTACTAGAAGAATGTAAAAAGCTGCATATATTTTGTGCACTTGTATGTACTAATAAATGGAAGGGATTCAAGGAACAACGAGAGGCTGTTATGCGAGATTTTCAAGAAACACTCGAGAAATATCATACTAAAACTCGAGAAGAAAATGGTACTATCTACTTTGGAAATATGGGTCTATGCACAAGTGTAAATAGTTTGCCAATCAAAGATGAAGAAACACATAGAGAATATAAACAATCTGGTATTAATGAACTTATATCTGGTATTATGCAATCAATTGACATGGTAAAAGCAGCTCAATGGTTTATGGTTGCATTTGAAAATGAACCATTTTAGAAAAGTCTCATTGACATTTCTACACAAGAACTGAAAAATTTCTGGACCAAACATTTCAAAGAAGCATGAACGGACGAAAGATTAGAACAGCAACTACAATTCCGAAAAACTAATTTGTCTTAATTCTTCCATTTTTTTCTTGGATTTTTTTATGAGTAGGGTGTGGGTGTAGGTGGAACTTAAGAACGGTAACTCGGCACGCTAATCCAGTCACACCCGAATCCTCAAGATATGACCTATAATCCTTTGTTGAATTTTCCTTGTATTTTTCTTTCGATTCGTTCACATGTGGAATATTCCAACTTAATTAACTGTTTTTTTTGTCGTATTACGAAACATTTCTTTTAAAAAGGCAAACAAATTGAATGAAACAAATAATGATTCAATGTTTGTACATTCGTTTTCTTTCTTTACCTTTCTTCGTCAAAATTTTGTCGAGAATAGGAAGAAAGCAGGTACATCAAATCATTATACACCGTCACTTTATATTAAACAAATGGTGATGAAATAAAAAATATATGGCTTGCGAAGATAATTTTGAAGAGGAAAAAATAAGAAGAGAAAAAATATCATATTTATATTTGTTTTTTTCTTGCATTTGTATTTAGGTATGTTTAGTGGGTATTTACCACACGTTTTTTTCGATGATATATTTTCAAAGGTATTGAAGAAAAGAGTATTATTGTTTCATTTCTTATTTGTGAGATATTACTGATGTTTTAATCTAACATAAGCCAATAAGCAACGACTAATTCGACTAAGTATCCTAGATTAGATGATTCAAAAATAGAAGAACAAACTCTACAAGCGTTAAATGATGATATTGATAAATGAGACCTCTTAACTTATCCTTGCAACGATGATGTAAAGAATGATTAGAATGTAAAGAAAGTGTTGCATATATAAAAGATATACTAATATGGGTACTAGCACGACTGATTCGCAGTTTTCGAATTCATCTTTCTGTTCTACGTAGATCTCAATGAGATTAAGTCAATTCAAATGAGCGTTCATGAGTGTGAATCTATGAGAACTCACTAATATTCATACCCACACTCTCATCAGTTTTACCAGTGAGATTTTATCACAATAAAATTCATTTTCGATTTCTTCTTCTACGGAGCAATTTTTTTATTATCATTGAATTATTAAGTTTATATTTATAAAATTAGATAAGTGGATTATCCATTTCATCTATCAATTTATATTGAACGAGATGGCAATGGCAAATAATAAAACACACTGTTTTACATGTAATAAAGAAAAAATCACATTTCGTTGTGAAGGATGTTCAAAACGATTTTGTTTTATGGATTTAGCAGAACATAAACAAATATTAAATGATGAATTAAATCATATTATTAATAATTATGATCAATTTAAACAAACAATTAATGAACGAAAACAAAATCCCTCATTAATAAAACAAATTAATCAATGGAAAACAAATTCGATTGAAATAATTCAGCAAAAAGCACGAGATTGTAGAGAAATTGCTATTAAATCATCACAAACATTTATTTATGATATTGAAAAAAAATTTAATAATTTATCTGATCTGAAATAAAAGAAATTCATAAAGAAAATGAATTTAATGAAATTGAATTAAATTATTTAAAAAATCAATTAATAGAAGTTACACAAGAATTAAATAATTTATCAAAGATTTCTATTCAACAAGATTCACAATTATTTATTAATGAAATTTCAATTATTTCATCAATAAGTAAGTTTTTAAGAAATAATTTGTCAAAGAATAATTGTCACTTCCTATAAAATTAAGTTGAAAAAGTATAATTCGCAAAGTGATAAAGAAGAAGATAAAATAATTGAGAATATATTATATTAAAGAAAAGTTTTGCTTAAATTTTGAGAAAATGTTTGATTGATAAAAACAAAATTGAATTATTCTGAAATTTTGTTAATTATTCTAAGAAAAATCAAAATTTACTTTTTCACTTTCCAAACTTCATCAATAAATCTTTGATAAATTTGATATCAAACGTTAGAAAGTATCAATATATACTAACTGATGCATAGTGAGAAGAATTCTACGAATTTTTATAGTTAAATATTTATCTAAGAATGGAATAGGAAGTCCTTTTTGTTTTTGTTTTTCTATTAAAAGAAATAAAAATGGTTCAGTCAAAGTTTCTTTATTTGATATAAATATTTAAGAAGTATTTCAATAGTTGAATAGATCAATGATGATTAAAATATTTTTTTCAATTGTAAAAACTAACAATAAGTGAGAGACAGCTGATTTGATGATCTTAAAATCAAATTTGAATTCATTGACTCTCAGAAATTATTGATTTTATCTATTCATTCAGAGTACAAATTTTTTCAAGTAAATCTTAAAGAGATCTTTTCAAACTTTAATATTGTAGAAAGATGTTTTATTTTGACGAGAATTTTTATATAATTCTATACAATGAGGATTATTGACAAGTTTAATAACGTCTACAAAAAAGATTTGACTATTTTTTTAGGAAACTGTATGTTTTTCGAGAGTTAAACTTAATACAAAGAGAAGTAACGATAAATAGTAGGGTTCTGTCCTATTCGTTAACAATCTTCTGGTATCTAGAAAACACATTTACTTCGTTTAACAAAGTATTCCTTCAGAAGTGACCACACCTTTACAAAGTGGACACTTCTCTACAGTGAACACTTTTCAAAAGTCCCTATGGTGTCCACTATAGAGAGGTTTCACTGTATTGATAAATTTATACATAGAATTATATATTAACAATTTTTGATAAATAATGGGTATATTATATCTGATTTTAATTTCTTGACGTTTATGTGAATAGTTTAGAAATCTTTATTGTATTATTTATTTCTTCTCTTTCATTTTGTTTTATTGCATTTTGTTTAAATTTCTTTTATTAATCATCTTTTATTATTGTTTTTTTTATTCCTCGATGATAAACAACATTTCTTTTTATTGAAATGTATTGTTTTTATCATTTTTTAGAATCAAAGTTCAACAAATGGAAACAAAATGCCATCACTGCGGCTGGTGGAAATGGATGTGGACAAAAAATAAATCAACTCAATGGCCCTTACGGAATCTTTATTGATGAAAAGAAGAATATTTTCATTGCTGATTGTTGGGAGCATCGTGTTGTTGAATGGAAACGTAATGCAAAAGGAGGACAAATCATTGCAGGTGGAAATGGCAGAGGAAATCGAATAAATCAATTGAATGAGCCAACAGATATTATTTTTGATCAACAATCTCGTTCGATCATCATTGCTGATCGTGAGAACAGACGAGTGATCCGATGGATGAATCAAAATCAACAAATTCTCATTAAAAATATTGGCTGTTGGGGCTTGGCAATAGATAAAAATGGATTTCTTTATGTTTCTGATACTCAGAAGAATGAAGTGAGACGATGGAAAATGGGAGAATATAACAACGAAGGAATTGTAGTGGCAGGTGGAAATGGAAGAGGAGATAAACTCAATCAACTTGATTTTCCTACTTTTATCTTTGTTGATAAAGATCAATCTGTTTATGTATCAGATGTGCACAATGATCGTGTGATGAAATGGAGAAAAGATGCAACAGAAGGAAGAATTGTGGCTGGAAGGAGTGGCCCAGGGAGAAACCTGAATCAATTCAATCATCCTCAAGGAATAACTGTTGATGATTTGGGTCAAATCTATATGATAGATTGGGGGAATAATCGAGTAATGCGTTGGTGTGAAGGGAAAGAAGAAGGTGAAATTATTGTTGGTGGAAATGATCAAGGAAAACAATCAAATCAATTTAATGGTCCCCGTGGTTTATCTTTTGATGACGAAGGAAGTCTTTATGTTGCTGATGGTCTGAATAATCGAATTCAAAAATTTGAAATAAATATGTGAATAAAATCTTGATTTCGAAAAAAGAAAAGAAATCGTTTTGTTAAATAAAAAATCGAACAAATTAGTAAAAAATGAAATTTTTTGATAAGAAAACAATGAAGAGAAATCTTTTTTCAGAACGTGCGTGTGGGTAAGTAAAACGTGAGCCCACATCGACATTTACACTCTCCTCATTATTATCCAAAACTTCTTTTACCTCTAATTTAATTTTCATTACCTAAATTTCCATCATCAACACCGTCAAAACTTCAAGCTAATTTTCGTTTATTAACAGTACCTTCTTTAGCTAAAACAGAAAATCCAACATGTTTATCTATTTTATCAATAAAAAACTCAGTCAGTTTCATTTACAACTGGAATATTTGCTTCAATAGCAACTGATGAATCATCTCGTTCATCATCAACAAATGAAAGACGTTTAAATATAAATGTATCACAAAAATTAGGTTATTTATCAATTCAATATTTTCTTTCTATTTTTTTTTCTTTGTTTAGACGTCCACAATTAAAACGAATTCAACTTTCACATGCTAAAAACCGCGATCAATGTCTTCATCAAATGAATTTTCAACATTATTATCCTCTCCTCTTAAATCAACAACAACAAATAATTTACAAAAATCTTTTTCAAATAATAAAATTGTGAATTTTGTCCCGATTCAAATACAAATGATTGTATGAAACATAGATATTGTTTAATTGAAAATTGATTGTATCAATGACATATGTATATCTTCTATATATCAATAAAATAATAAAGTTATTAACTAAATACTAATTATAATTAGTTAAAGAGAAATTTAAAGGGGATGATATTGATGAGACGAATATGTTCTCAATTGCGGTGCTTCTACAAAATGAGTTTAATGCAAATTTTCTCGTGTTTTTATTTTCGGAGTATTATCGAACAGTGAATTTTAAACATAGTCTAACAAAATATAATGACAAATAAATGAAATACTTCTTTGATAGTTTTTCAGTATCAAAATGTAATGTATGTATGTGTGTACGTATGCTATTATCTATGTAAATAGTGAGTCAGTTACATACACTTGTGTGTATAGAACCGACTAGCCACACGCACGTGTTTTCATATACACACTTTCTTAAGTTTATATCTAAGAAAATAGATAAATAGATATTTATTTGTTTTCTGAACTTTTATTCAAAAACATAGCAATGGCAATGGCAATGGAAAATGATAAAACATTATGTGATATATGCAATGAAGAAAAATTAACATATCTTTGTGAAGGATGTTCAAAAAAGTTCTGTTCGATGGATTTAACAGAACATCATCAAATGTTAACTAATGAATTACGACAAATTGATATTGATTATGGTAAATTTGAACAAAGAATCAATGAAAAAAGACAAAATTCAACTAAAAGCACAAGATTGTAAAAAATTTGTTATGGAATATTTAGCAACATCCTGTAATAATATTCAAATGAAATTGGCTGATTTACATGAACAAACCAAACAAACTCTTAATGATAATGATTTTAATGAAATTAAGATACATTATTTAAAAAATCAACTAATAGAAATCCGACAAGTATTAGATAATCCAGCAAAGATTATTATTAAAGATTTGCAACCGTTTATTACCCAGGGCAGAGACAACGGCACCGTAACCGACCTTAAAGGGTAGTAAACTGGTAAAATACGGCGAAAAACGGTTCCAAAACGTTGCCGTAATGGTTAACATGGGATGTAATGAAGAAAACATAATTTATCCTTCTAAAGGATGTGCAAAAGAATTTTGTTCAGTTCATGTAAACGAACATAAACAAAAATTAAATGTAGAATTATATAATATTATTGATGATCATTATCAATATGAACAAAGGACTCGTGAACAAAAAGAAAATCCATATAATCAATTATTAATAAATGAAATTGATCAATGGGAAAAAATTTCAATGGAAAAATTAAACAACAATCAAAAGGTTGCAAAGAAATTATCATTGGATCATTACAAACGTGTATTAATGATATTGAAAAGAAATTTAAAGACTTGAATGAACAAATAGAACAACTTCTGAAAGAAAATCAATTCAATGAAATTGAGCTAAATTACTTAAAAAAACAATTAATGAAAATCACACAAGAATTAAACAATTCGTCGAATATTTCTATTCAACCACGTTCACACTTATTTATTAATGAAATTTCCATTATTCCAATAAAAAGTAAGTTTTTAAGAAATAATTTATAGCAGGGTAGTTCTCATTTTCTAAGAATTTATGTTAAAAATCTATAAAAACAAAGGAAAGTAATGACGAAGAAAATAAAAACAATTGAGAATACTATTGATTCATTTAATCAATAATAATTGAATTCATAGAAATAGAAAATTCAGTTTATTTGTATGTAAAAGAAAAAAATAATAGAAGATGAAATAATACTAAACGAAAAAATTAATTTTTCTTCAGAGTTTGAAAAGATATGTTTGATAGATAAAAACAAAATTGAATTATTTTCAAACGTTTTATTTTACAGAAAATACGTCAGCGAAGTCTTTTCTCATTTTCAATTTTTTTCTTTTCAAATTAAATATTCGTTAATTTATATCACAAATAAACTAGATGTTTTAATAAAAATATTCTTTCTCTTCAAAATTTCGATTGGAAAAACAATAAATATCAAATAAAATTTGTCTTTTCATTACACATTTTTAACCACATTTCATTAAAATCTTTTCTTTTCATCCTTTTCTAGAACCAAAATGGGGCAAATGAAAACAAATGCTATTATTGTTGCTGATGGATACGGACATGAACAAGGACCATCTTGAGGGTGTGGATGTAGAGTGAGTGTTAACCAGACAACCCACACTCTCAAAATATATATATATCGATTTTTTTCTCTCTTTAATGATTCAAATTTGTTACTTTTGTCAATAAATTTCTACAGTAAAACTCGTTAAGCGAAATATCCTAAAGTTTGAAGAAAGAACTAACAGAATATGAACTGATTAAGACAATTTAATCTTCTTTAGTTTTACCAATGTTTTGATCAATATAGTCGTTTTGAAAATTTTATTAATGAATACTTGATCATACTATAATATTCAGTTTATTGACAATATACAGAGAAAAATATTGTTGAAATAATGAACAAGAAAAAGATCTATTTGTAAATATCTCAGAGATTCATTGACATTGAATACAAGAACTAAGAGAGAAAAAACGGCTCCTGCCGATTACGAAGAAATACCAGTAATAGTTTTCCGCCCTTGTGTTATATATTAGCAGTTTGTTCATCCACAATACGACTTTTGAATGTCGAGTTTTTTGAACACCTAATGCCCCTAATTATTTTTAATGTGCAAAAAAAATTAGAGTTTTTATTAATTACTTAATACGGTAGGTCGAAGTCGAAGATTTCGTAAGTTATTTAGATAAACTTATATATATTCTATAAAGTACACCACGAATAATTGTCAACGTATGTTTAAATGAAAACTTTAAGGTTTGATAAAGACAAGAATATTTTTATACATTGACACAATTGAAAGATTCATTTGTTTTTCGTATTAATATTTAATCTTTCAATGAATAGAATTTAGTTATTCTAGTTTTTAATTTTATAAATATTTGCTTTTATATAAAATAAAGATTTGACATTATTGATTAATTTCATCTTTATTTATTCTCATTCAATATGAGAATGATGAGAAAATTTATAATACCACCATATCCAAAAGATTAGTAATTATGATGGACAAAATAAATAATTCGTTTACATATCACTATATAGTCAAAGTGTATCATATTGATAATCAATGTATAGGTTATTTCACTATATAAAAGGTGAAATTATTATCTAAATAATATATATATATTCGATCATTTCACTTAATATATATATAATGTGTTTTAAATAGACGCTATGAATCGAATAGTTATTTTTTAATGTTCTATTTATCTAATGTAGAAAATAAGAGAAAATTTTTTGTCGACAGGTAGAAAGAATGTTTAAAGTTTGTTTCTTTATTTTGCGCATTAACATCAACAAAAGAGTGTTGCAGAAGAAGGGAAGTAGACGAATAATATATAAAAGCTTTTACTATGATTTTCTTTTGAAAAATATTTCTTTAAGTTGTTGATCATAACTTTTTCGGGGAACAAATCGTGTTATTTTATGATATTAAGAAACTTGCCTGTATTAGGAGACATGAAAAATTTCAATACATGCCGATTCATTCCTATCTGATATACTTAGTCCTTGTTAAAGCCAAATGACTGTAAAACGTTGAGAATAGACTTTATAATCAACTTCATAAACGTTTTTCATAGATATATGTTTAGCTATTATTGAAGTTATTTTCAGTAGTAGGATATTGTATAGAATATAAATTGAGATGCAACGAAAATAGAATTCTAATAATTTTCAATTTATAACATTTCTAACTGAAACGAACAAAGAATAGCAAAGATTATACAACGTTTCATATTTCTGTTGAAGAATAAATTAGAGCCTATAGTTTATAGAATAAGACGATCAAAATTATCATGAATAGATATTAACGTCATATTTATTTGTAAGTAAATCCTAAAAAATACAATAGTTTTTCAAACATATTTCGATTAAAATATAATCAGTGATCAAGATTTATAGTGTTCTTAATGTGAGTAACAATTTTAGTTGATTAAATGAATAATTAATGCCGAGTTGTTGTAGTGGACTTTATAGTCGTAGTTGACCGACTTGTTGTTGAAGTGGGTTTTTTAGTTGTCGTAGGCCGAGTTGTTGTTGTAGTTGGCTTTGTGGTCGTTGTAGATCGACTTGTAGTTGTAGTGGGTTTTGTAGTAGTAGTTGATCGAGCGGTTGTTGTAGTGGGTTTTGTAGTTGTAGTGAATCGAGTTGTTGTTGTAGTTGGCTTTGTTGTCGTGGTAGATCGAGTTGTTGTTGAAATACCACTATTTGTATTCGTATTGATCCAGCTAACAAATGTAGCAACACGTGTATAAATACCTGGATATCCAGCCTCAGCACATCCAATACCATTACTTGTTAAACCTACTAATACCCATTGTTTATTTGAATTAAACATCATTAATGGACCTCCAGAATCTCCTTGACATGTATCTTTACCACCACCGAATATTCCTGCGCACAATTGAACATGCCAATCATTTATCAATGGACTACAAGTCGAATCCTGACGACTTATTGTTTGTAAAGTCACCTGCTGAAGATTTGTTGGTAATGAACCACCTTCACTTAATGTACCCCATCCCACAGCAACAACCTATTCAACAACATTTATAATCATTTTTAAGATTGCAAGATAACTTACTGTAGTGTTAGCAGCTGGCCATTCAGTCGTTGATAATGTTGTTGAATCAACTGATGGTAAACAAATCTGACTCACATAACGATCGGTCATGTCTAATGGAGTTTTCAGCTGTAGCAGTGCAACATCATCTACATAAGTGTCACTGTTGTAACTTGGATGAACAATAATCTTTGAAACTACTCGACTTTGAGTACCAGTCCATCGACTATTCGATCCAGCATAAATTGTGATTGATGATGCTGTTTGACCATTAATACAATGTGCTGCTGTAATCACCCATCCTGCAGAGATGATTGAGCCACCGCAAAGATAAGTGTTAGCAATATTAAGTGAAACAGCCCAACCCCATGTTGCTGGAGTAGCAGCTTCACCTCCCACAATACGAGATAGAGTTGCTGAATTTGTTGAACATCCACAAGATGCAGTTGCATTACATGAATAAGTAGTAGTTTGATAAATTATTCTAATTAGATTAAATAACAAGATCAACGAAAGTCTATGTACACCATTATTTCCTGTAAGTTTCATCTTGATGGTCGAGTAAATATATAGAAATTTGAAATTTCTTCTGTGAAGTTATGATATATACGTTACTCAAATCACGTTTTCTTGTGAGAAATTATATGTATATATTATACTTTCACCTTTTAGTAATGCATTGAATGATTTTGTAAAAACTAAATGTGACTGTATTTATAGAGCAGTTTCTTCGTACGAGAGTGGAAGTACGCAATGATTTCGTTTATTTTATGTCAATATATATGAATCATATACAGAAAAGGAATCGCAAACATTGATCATCGGGTCATAATATACCTTCGTGTTATTTTTTTTCTGATGTGTTTAGCATAATAAACAAAAAAAATTATGAAAACGGTACGTCTGATTACGTAGCAACTATACTTTTTTGTTTCTTTACATAAAATCATAGGTTACGATGCGTCATACTGAGACTCAAAACAAGATTTTTTTAATGAAAAGAACGCATAATGAAACATAAACGTATGGCTAAAGAAATACGTACATAACAAATATATGCAAACGCATGATAAAAAAAATATGATTTACAAGCAAAGAGAAACTATTATCGTAAAATAATATATATTGTCATTCGTTAACGACCTCCGTTTTATTGTTTGTTAATCGCTAATAATTATAGATGTAGAGAAAAATGATGAATACAATTGAAACAATAGTGAAATTGTCGAATCATTAAATAGAAAATCAGTTCAAACTCGGTGTGATTATTTAGTTTTAAACACATAAGATTTATTTTTCTTAATATATACCAGTAGTTACATATTGAGTCGTTTATGAAGATTTTTTTGATGATTCTATAAACCATCATTCTTGCTATATATATTTGAAATACACAATATCGTTCTTTCATTATTTTCATTATAAATTTCTGATGTTATATGATTTATTGTTCTATTGAATTTATATATTTAATATAAAAATTAATTGCTAATGTAAATAGAATATTTAGAATATCTGACATGAATGATTAAAGATTTTATTGATTTTATTATGTTAAAATTCTAAAAAATAGCTTTAATAATATCTAAAAATCTTACTGATTAGTCATCTGATACCTTAGTTGTTATTAAAAGAACAGTCATTTACTACCTATATATAGAAGATTATTTAATTTTTAAATACTTTATATTAGAAATAGTAGAACATGAAGATGACAAAGCATAAGCTTAGGCTGGATTTGGTATTCTTAGGTTTAGTCTGACTCAAGCTAATTCTTTGAGATTTGATCATACTTATATTTAAAATTGTATAGATACACAAATCTTATTTTAATACAGAAGATTTTAAATTTTTATATATTTATTCTCATACTATGATGAGGATTAAATTGATTAATGCCATCATAATTCATAACTGTATCATTTAATTTGTTCACGTTGAGTAGTGAATAAGTTCGACTAACCGTGGAATTACATATATTTTAAGAAAATACGATTAGTTGTACTCTAAGCATTTATTTTTTTTCTCTTAATATCATCATTCAATTCACTTGCTTGAATAATAAGAGAACTCTAATAACTATACATTTAACGAAAATATCTAATAGATAGAGTCAGAAATTATGATTAACGAACACTCTAGAATATAAGATATTAAAAATCTACCCTTATTTTATACTAAGAGGCATACTTACGTTAACTTGACTGCTTCACAACGCAGCTTATGATATCATTCATTATTCACTTAAATCTTATCAAGAGAGATTTTATTTATCTATGAAAAACGAACAATTGAATGATAAGGACAGACTTTTATTATTTAATTCAGGAAACTGCCAATATCTATCTCAACATCTGCTTTAACTTTCAAGAATATTCGTCCTTCCTAATAATAATAGATTGTTAATATATGTAAAAGATAATTGTATGATTTCATTCACAACTGTTATGAATTATTCTGATTTAATTTCTTTTCTCTCACAAAATATTACATAAAAAATATTAAAAACAGAATAATAATAAAATTAACTTCCTAGTATTTTCAATCTTATGAAGTTATGTTTTGAATAGAACATATTATACTATCACCTATTTTTCCTCTAAAATATATCATGCACATAGAAGATGAAGTATTATAAAAACCAAAATGTTACAAATCGATATTTTTATTATATTTGCATACAATGGGATTGTTGCTTGGTTTGACGATGTAACATTATTTAAGCTTGTAGGCGTAATTACAATTGTCGAGTTAGAGCCGATTCCAGATAAACCACCGCCATTTGTATTCGTATCGATCCAGCTAACAAATGTAGCAACACGTGTATAAATACCTGGATATCCAGCCTCAGCACATCCAATACCATTACTTGTTAGACCAATTAATACCCATTGATTACTTGAACTAAACATCATCAATGGACCTCCAGAATCTCCTTGACATGTATCTTTACCACCGCCCGATACTCCTGCACACAACTGAACATGCCAATCAGTTATCAATGGACTACAAGTCGAATCCTGACGACTTATTGTTTGTAAAGTCACCTGCTGAAGATTTGTTGGTAATGAACCACCTTCACTTAATGTACCCCATCCCACAGCAACAACCTATTCAACAACATTTATAATCATTTTTAAGATTACAAGAGAACTTACTGTAGTGTTAGCAGCTGGCCATTCAGTCGTTGATAGTATTGATGAATCAACTGATGGTAAACAAATCTGACTTACATAACGATCGGTCATGTTTAATGGAGTTTGAAGTTGCAAAAGTGCAATATCATTTACATAAGTGTCACTATCGTAACTTGGATGAACAATAATTTTTGAAACTATCCGACTTTGAGTACCAGTCCATCGACTATTCGATCCAGCATAAATTGTGATTGATGATGCTGTTTGACCAATAACACAATGTGCTGCTGTAATCACCCATGCTGGAGAGATAATTGATCCACCGCAAAGATAAGTGTTAGCAATATTAAGTGAAACAGCCCAACCCCATGTTGCTGGAGTAGCCGCTTCACCTCCCACAATACGAGATAGAGTCGCTGAATTTGTTGAACATCCACAAGATGCAGTTGCATTACATGAATAAGTAGTTGTTTGATAAGTTATTCTAATCAGATTAAATAATATAACCAATAAAATTTTTAGTAGATTACCGTTTTGTGTGATTTTCATTATTTGAATTCGTTAGATATGTAAATCTGAAATAAACTTATTTAACAGTAATACGATATCTCATTGATTTTTTTTTGTAATATTTTCTTAGATTTTTTATCGGATGATGTTTACTATAGAGTTTTGATAACATTGTGCAGAAAATAAAAAAATGGTAAAAATGATGAATAATTAAAATAAAAATTTCCATGAAAATCATCAAATGAAAAGTGGTTAAAAATCAAAGACATCTCATTATCTTGTGTGTATTATAGAAAAACAAACTTTTTACATTATACTATTTACATAAATATATATAAATGTTATTTTTAGTATACATACTTTGCATAAATCGTCGTCTCAAAAAGTAATTTATCAAGATCTCATATAATCAAATGAAATCTAATTCATATATGATGCTCGGAAATAGAATAAAATAACTTGTCATTACGGCTCACTTGTTTTCGATTTCAATAATGTTTCATTTGTTATTTTGATTATTTGTGGTCTTCAAAATAAATGTTTTTATGGTAGAAATACATAACTCAGTGGGATTATTATATATGGAGCAAATATATAGCATGTGTGTGAGAAAGGCAATTGAGAGAAGTAAAGATTTCGATTATGCAAATCTTTTGTGGAAGCAAAAATGATTAATCGAATATATCATGCGATTGAAAATAAATAACACACTTACTACTGTCGCGTAAAACTGAAATAATGTTCTGTTCGTATAATTCACCTGTACTTTTTTGACATGTATGAATCACAGAACAAATATCAGGTGGCACTTATGATAAAGCTAATGTACTTTTGTATTGCTATTCCGCTTTGAACTTTGAAAACAATTATTCTAAATAGAAAAAATGTGAATGAATTGTATGTAACTAGAAACGAAATGTATTTTGCAATAGCATCTAATCTCATTTATTCTAGAGTTAATAAATAGTAAAAATGTGAGGAATAAACGAAATAGATATCAACTCTTGTAACTTTTGGATGTTAGAAATTCTCTTCTGTGGTGAATTGACAAACATGATTAAGAGAAGACAATCGTAGAGAAATATATTTTGCTCAGTCTTATATTCTTCTGTTGTAACAGTATCTTTGTTTCATATTTGTATGCGCTGAATAATTTGCTATTTAATAAATCATACAAAAGTACTTTTCAATAGATTGAAAAAAAACAAACTAGTAATTTTTCATTCCTTTACAAAGTTTATCGATCAAGAGATTTTATGTAGATTGAGAAATCATAAATTTCTTGTTTAATAATAAATTTAATATTTTACAAATCATGTCTTCTATAAAATAAAATATTCTATCAATACATTTTGGAATTTGATATTATCAAACAAATTTACAAAAAAAAGAAGTATCACTAACATCAAAATCCTCATGACTATGAATATATATTCAGGTATTTATTTGCTCAATGGTGACAATAGAAAATTGGAGAAAACTCTTTATTCTGATTATGAAAATATTTAAGAGTGATATTAATCAAAGAACATCTTTATGTGATAACTAAATTTATTACTTAAATTTAAACAATTTAACATATATGTAGTCAATAAATACCTTCATGAAAGAGTGTTAGTTTATTATGGATTTTTGTTCTGTACGATTAAAACATTCAGAAGCTTATGTGTCTCGAATCAATATAATAGATTTTATTTCTTAACAGTAATCATATCGGTAACAATTATTAAGATAAAAGATAACTACATATTACATCCAAATCTACATCAAAACATCCTTTTATTGAATAAATACTACAAAAACTGCTTGTTGTTTTATTTTAAACTAAAATAAAATTGATTCTCTACTTTTATCCTACCATCTTAGATATTATATCAGTTTCATCCGTGGAATTTTGTCACAACTAGTGATTGTTGACATAAAACAATTCTTTTTTCAATTTCTTCTACTACCGATCAATGTTTTTATTATCATTGAGTCATTTAGTTTGTATTTATGTTACAGTCAAAATTAAAACTTGACTAGTCGAAATTGAAAATTCCATTCTGTCTGACATATTCTCAGTCGAAATTGAACGTTCAGTTCTGACTAGCCAAATTTTAATTTTGAGTACAACATTCGTACAAGCACATACGAATATATTCATTTCTTCTACCAACTTCTATTACAAAGACATGGCAATGGCAAATGACAAAACACTATGTTTCATATGTAATGAAAACAAAATAACATATCCTTGTAAAGGATGTTCAAAAGAGTTTTGTTTAGTGGATTTAACAGAACATCGTCAAATATTAAGTAATGAATTACATCATATCACCAATGAGTATAATGAATTTAAACAAACAATTAATGAACAAAAACAGAATGCACAAAATTTCCCATTATTAGAACAAATTAATCAATGGGAAATCGAATCCATTGAGAAAATTCAACAAAAAGCACAAGAGTACAGAGAAATTGTTACTAAATCATCACAAACATGTATGAATGATATTGACATGAAATTTAAAGACTTGAATGAACAAATAAAACAAATGCAGATAGCAAACGAATTTAATGAAATTGGTTTAAATTATCTAAGAAATCAATTAATAGAAATTAAAGAACAATTAAACAATCCATCGGATATTTCTATTAAAAAAGATTCACAATCAATTATTAATGAGATTTCTATTATTTCATCAAAAAGTAAGATTTTAAAAATACTATCTAACTACATAAGCCTCATTTCCTATGAATTTATTTTAAACAACTATTAAAACAAAGAAAAATGATGAAGAAAATAAAAAAGTATTGAGAATTTGATTGATTTATCTCGAAATGAAATCAATAAGAGTAGTATTCATAAAAATAGAAAATTAAATTTATTTGACAAAAAAGATCAAGAAAATCGTTTCTCTTTTTCAGTTTCATTTCCTTTCTTTTTAAATGAAATATTTATGAATTTGTTTCAAAAAGTAAATTCTCTTTCACTAAAAATTCTTTCTCGTCGAAATTTCGATTTTAGAAAACAAACTTCAAACGCTTTCTTTTTAAACAAAATATTTCGTTATTTCATTTTAATAAACCATATTCAAAAATACAACAAAAAGTTTTGTGTGATTAAAATTCTTATGATAAGAATTTCTTTTTCTTTTTCAAATATAAAACTTCAAATAATTTGTTTTTTTACTAAAATTCTTTTCAAAATTCAAATTTCACAAAAACACGAACAAAGTTTCATTGAATTGATATTTTCTTCTTCGATAGAAAAAACAGAATTTCCTCCTTTTTCTTTTCATGCAAATCTTTGTTTTCATTTTTTTTCTAGAATCAAAATTCAACAAATGGAAACAAAATGCCATCACGGTAGCTGGTGAAAATGAAAAAGGAGAAGGATTAAATCAGCTCAAGTGCCCTCAAGGAATCTTTATTGATAAAAACAAAAATATATTTATTGCTGATACTAATAATCATCGAGTTATTGAATGGAACTATAATGCAAAAGAAGGAAAAATCATTGCAGGTGGAAATGGACAAGGAAATCGAATAAATCAATTGAATTATCCAGCAGGTGTGATTGTTGATCCACAAAATCATTCTATCATCATTGCTGATTATTTGAACAGACGAGTAATTCAGTGGTTGAATCAACATCAACAAATTCTCATTCACAATATTGCTTGTTATGGCTTAGCAATGGATAAACATGGATTTCTTTATGTTTCTGATACTCAGAAGAATGAAGTGAGACGATGGAAAATGGGTGATTATAACAATGAAGGAATTTTAGTGGCAGGTGGAAATGGAATAGGAGATCAGCTTAATCAACTCAATGAGTCTACTTTTTTGTTTGTTGATGAAGATCAATCTGTTTATGTATCAGATAGCAACAATCATCGTGTAATGAAATGGAAAACAGGTGCAAAAGAAGGAACAATTGTGGCTGGAGGAAATAAAAAAGGAAGAAATCTTAATCAATTATCTTCAGCTCAAGGAATCATTGTTGACGATTTGGGTCAAATCTATGTGGCAGATTGGGGGAATAATCGAGTAATGCGTTGGTGTGAAGGGAAAGAAGAAGGTGAAATTGTTGTTGGTGGAAATGGTCAAGAAAATCAATTGAATGGTCCTGTGGGTTTATCTTTTGATGATGAAAGAAATCTTTATGTTTCTAATATGGAAAATCATCGAATTGTAAAGTTTGAAATAATATTGTAAATGAAATTTAGACTTTGTAAAAAAGAGAAGAAATTATTTGCTAAATAAATAAGCGAGAAATAAAAGAAAAAGTGAAGTTTTATTATTGAAAATGAATGAAAAAAATCGATTAAAATTTCAAGAAAAAAAAGTATTTTAACCAAAGAACGAAGAAAAGTCTTTTTGGTTTCTTTTCATCAAAACTGAATATAGTTTGATAGTTTTGAATAAATATCCCAAAAAATAAATGTTAAATTTTTCACCTTTTGCTAATTTTTTCAAAGGAAAAGAAAAGAAAATATTTTATGATTTCAGTTGAATGGTGAAATAAAAATTATTCGGCATGAAGATTTTGTCTCTGATAAAATTCTATTCGAGTATTTTTATTTGATGAAAACAATCGAATATTTGTTTTTTTGATTTAATAAAATTTGAGAATTGTTTAAAAGTTGAAAAGATTTTCATTTAGGTGAAAAGAAAAACACTGAAAAATTTTTTCAGAATGAAAATTTTCTTGAGTTTAATTTCAAATAAAAGAAATTCAACATTTTCTTCGTTTTAGTTTTTGAATAAAAAGTGTTGATTGAGATATATTTAATTCCAGTTTTCTCTTTTTTTAGAAAATTAAATTATTAAAACAGAAAATTTTCTTTAATTTGATATTTTGATAAAAAAATGATTTGAAATTCAATTTTCTCTTTTGCCAAAAAAGAAATCAAATTATTTATCAGTTCCAAATCAATGAAGTTACTTGTGAAAAATTTTAAAATCTATTTTTTAAAAATTTTCAGATTATTCTGTAAAGAGTATATGTGACTGCGGAAAAATATCTATGGTTCTTAAAAATAAAATAAAAAGTATTTGTGTGCTTTAATATTCACTAAGAGAATCTGAGACAAGTCTTTAGGTCTTGAGGTGGATTCTAAATTTAATTCCGCATTGGATGAGGCCACCTGAGACGAAGACATCGGCTAAGAATGGGTAGTTTCACCAAAAATACCGGTTAGATGTGGCTGTGGATCATTCAAACATCAATGTCCACACTGAGAGTCTACCATTGTACAAAATATGAACATGTAAAGCATCGTTTTTCTTAAATAGGAAAATCAATGAATGATAGTTGTATCACATTTTAATTGAGATGATGAATGTTCATGTTCAACATTTTCCTCAGTTAATTATTCAGAATTAATATCATTAGATACAAAAAAACTCTGACATAATATTGATCATATTATTTTGAATGTATTTATGATGCAACAAACAGAAAATTTACAGATTAGTTTCATTTTATATAATGTACTAATTTATCTAAACGCTGAAGCTGTTAGATAGAGATAGTTTTTCGGTCTTGTTGTCCATATATAAATAATTGCTCTAATAAAATTATTTTTACCTACAACTTTATTTTCGCTTTATATGTTTTTGTTTAAATTTGATGTTTATTATTAAATATTTCATTGAGAAAATTATTCAACAAATGAAATATGTAATTAGAAATTTATTTCTTAATTTTTATTGTTTTTTTTTCTAAATTTATCCAAATTCATTCGAAATCTTTATTTAATAAAAATGAATAAATTCTAATATAATATGTTGATGAAATATGAAATCAATTTTTAAAACTTTCGAACTATTTATTTTACATCTTTTCGATGAATTATCATACATTTATTAAGGCAACTAAAAATATATTAACACTTCTTTCTTTTTTAGTTTGTATTCGATTAAATAATTTAATAAAATCTATTCTTCGATTTTGTTTTAATGCAACGAAAAACATTACATAAAATCTTTTCATTTAACTTTGTTATTTATATATAATAAACATTCAATGTCAACAATGATTGATTTACTTCAGCCATCAAATGGTGATAAAGATAATTATTCACCAGTTGAATATATACACTCCTAATGAATAGACTTTTAGCATTTCACGAAGAAATGTCAAAAATAGTTTGTTTAGATAAAAACTATCGAATAAAACTAAATTCAATTTCAAAAAATATTTTAACTTAAAATCAAAATCAGTTTGATACTGTTGTTGTGACAAAGAAGAAAAAGAAAATTTGTAAAAAAACAAAAAATTATTTGAAGATTATATCAATAGGTTAGAATTAAAATAAACAAAGATTATTTTGTATGTCTTGTAGATAGTCTCTTTAAGAAAAAAAATTTAGTATCATATCATTAGTTATAGATTTACAGATTATTTATTGAATTTAACTTTGCTCCGAAGAAATCTACATATAATATTTTATTGATGTTTATCGTATCCAATGAAAATAAAATACGCGAAAAATAATGACAAATCAATGAAAGACTTCTTTGATCGTTTTCAATATCAAAATGTGAAGTATGTATGTGTGTACGTATGCTATTATCTATGTAAATAGTGAGTCAGCTACATACACTTGTGTGTATAGAACCGACTAGTCACACGCACGTATTTTCATATACACGCTTTCTTAAGTTTATATCTAAGAAAATAGATAAATAGATATTTATTTGTTTTCTGAACTTTTATTCAAAAACATAGCAATGGCAATGGCAATGGAAAATGATAAAACATTATGTGATATATGCAATGAAGAAAAATTGACACATCTTTGTGAAGGATGTTCAAAAAAATTCTGTTGGATGGATTTAACAGAACATCATCAAATGTTAACTAATGAATTACGACAAATTGATATTGATTATGGTAAATTTGAACAAAGAATCAATGAAAAAAGACAAAATTCAACTAAAAGCACAAGATTGTAAAAAATTTGTTATGGAATATTTACCAACATCCTGTAATAATATTCAAATGAAATTGGCTGATTTACATGAACAAACCAAACAAATTCTTAATGATAATGATTTTAATGAAATTAATATACATTATTTCAAAAATCAACTAATAGAAATCAGACAAGTATTAGATAATCCAACAAAGATTATTATTAAAGATTTGCAACCGTTTATTACCCAGGGCAAAGACAACGGCACCGTAAACGATCTTAAACGGTTCCAAAACGTTGCCGTAATGGTTAACATGGTATGTAATGAAGAAAACATAATTTATCCTTCTAAAGGATGTGCAAAAGAATTTTGTTTCGATCATTTAAAACAACATCAAATAATATTAAACGTTGAATTACATAATATTATTGATGATCACTATCAATATGAACAAAGAACTCATGAACAAAAAGAAAATCCATATAATCAATCATTAATAAATGCAATTGATCAATGGCAAAAAAATTCAACTACAAGCAGCAGATTGTAAAGAATTTGTCATTAAATCTTCACGAGTATTTATTCATGATATCGAAATGAAACTTGAAGAGTTCAATGAACAAATACAACAACTTCGGAAAGAAAATGACCTTTATGAAATTAATTTAAGTCATTTAACAAATGAATTAATCGAAATTAAACAAGTATTAGATAATCCAGCAAAGATTATTATTAAAGAAGATTTGCGCCCGTTCATTAATGAAATTTCAGTTACTTTATCAAAAAGTAAGATTTTACTAAATAATTTGTAGAAGAATAATTATCATTTTCTATGAAATTATTGTAAACAATTGTAGTACAAAGAAAAATAATGATAAACAAAATAAAAAAATATTATTGATTTATCTCTAATTGATATCAATAAGAATAGTATTAATAGAAATAGAAAAGTCAATTTATTTGTATATGAAGAAAATGAACGACAAGATATGAAATAATTATTTAAGAAAGATTTTATTTGAAAACGCAGGACGATGGTTCCTGAAGCAGGATTTCATGAGTTTCTGGCAAAATCACTGACGAAACTCGCTATTTCCCGGCGGGTTTCGTCCGGAAAACGCCAGAAATCCGATGGAGAAGTGAGGTAACCGTATCTGGCTGACGATTCCGGTCCAAACCAGATGAATATAGTCACCTGATCCTTTCGACTGGAATACTGCTTTCATGATATCTCCGGAATACCACGGAACCGGCCGTTTCCGTGCAGGATTGTTCGACCTGGATTACAATGACGAACGAAATCTTTATATTGCTAATCGTTCACCGAGCACAATAAAAAGAAGAAAAGAAAATATTTTTATTCAAAGAAGGGTGTGGGTGTGTGAATTGCCTTTCATTACCCACACCCAACCATCGTATGATTTTCAGTATACCTAAACGTATGTATAAACTTGTCAAATTCGTTTTATTTTACACAAAAAAAAGAATTAATATACAATTGATACATTTCGTTTGAATAAGTTTTAAAAAACATTAACTACAGATCATCATCGCTATAGTGTTCGCCAGAGTAATTCATTACATCGTCACCCTAAAACAAAAAGAATATATCAAAAATGAAGATCGATCAGTAAAATTGAATCAACTAACCATACGATCAAGATCTCCCATATTGCCTGTATCAAATCGTCCACCATCTAAACTTGAGTCATCATTCATTTCACGTTCCAGACGTTCAAAATGACATGTCCTATATATCAAACAAAATCAATATAACATTCGAATAAAAGAAAATCTTACGGAAAATTACGAACAACTTGTTGAAGCATTTCTTCATTACTACCTGATTTCATTAAACTTTCGATAAGTAACTGACGAATACGTGGGTCATTATTTGTTTGCATATGCTCTTTTAATCTAGATAACAAGAAAAATTAAAAAATTCTATAAATCTTTCTTTACTAATCGAACTTACAAATCAATACTTTTTTGTTGTTGTTTCAATTGTCCATAAACTTCTGCAAGTGAAATAATTGCATCAGTATATTTTGAATTTAAACTAAGTGCTTTTTCTAAATAAACTCGAGCTTTATCTAATGATGATGCTTCTTTTGCAAGAACTTGTCCACATAATGTATATGCTCGAACATTTTCTTTTAAATTTGTTCGAACAGCATTTGTAATAAACATATCTTTAAATAAATAGATATATATATAGTTTATTGAAATGTATTTCAAAATTTATATTATTACTAGCATCACTTAATCGACTTGTTGCTAAATAACCATCAACAACACCTTTATAACCTTCGAAACAATAAGGAACTAGACGAACAGCTTCTTTATAGTGAACAAGTGAATCTGAATATCGTTTTAACTTAAACAATGCAAGACCTTTAAGTAATAAAGCTTGAATTTTTGTATTATCTAATGCATAGGCTTTTTGTGCAAGATAAACAGTACGTGTTGGTTTATTCATTCTTTTTAACCAATAATATCCAATAGCAATCCATGTTTCAGAATGTTGATCACCCAATGACATAAAATGATTAACAAGTCTTAAATATAAAAATATTTTAGAAATCGAAAAGAAAATTTTATCATTACTTTTCTAATGAATTATCTTTACATTCTGAATAAGTTAAAAATGCAAGTATATCCATACGTTTTAATAATAATGGATCAATTTGTTGTGCTCGTTGTAAACTATGTAATGCTTGTCCATAATCACCATTTAAATATTGTGTATAACCAAGTTGACATAAAACATATGTTGATTGTGGTAAATATTGTGCATCGATTTGTTGATAAAGTCTTGATGCTTCACTAAATTCTCGATTAACTGAACAAGCATCAGCTTGAAGTAATGTACGATACCATGTTTGACGTACTAATGGTGATATTGTTATTGGTGTTGGTTGTTGTGCTTGATTTTCATGATGTATAGATGCAGCTGATGGATGTGTATGAAGAAGATCATTTAATTTAACACCAAGAGCAAGTAATGATGTATAAGCAGAAAATGTATTTGGATTTTGTTTTAAACATTCACGAAAAGCATTGATAGCTTCTGGATTAGAACCACCAACTTTTTGATAACATTGACCAAGTGCGAGATTAATTTTAGCTGAACGTTGATGAAATGGTATTGATTCAAGCTACAAGTATAAATAATAATAATAAGAGATGCAGTAATCGTGAGATCTATTCTGATGAGCAATCTGATTCATTCTCACAAAAAAAAGCTTAACCTTTTTAATAAACCCATAATTGCGAAAAGTGAAAAAATAAAAGAAATTCTAAACTTTTTATTTATTGACTTACAATAGTAAGAGCTTCTTTCGATCGATTCAATTTTAATAAACATATATGTTGTCGATATTTGGATTCAATAACCCAATCTGGTTCAGTCTAAAATATATATATGTTTGAATTTAATGAAATATTTGAAAGAATATATACCGTATTCTTATCATTTTTTTCTATTTGTTTATAAGTATGTAATGTTTTTTTTAAATAAGATTCTGCTAAATTATATTCATGTAATAGCCAAGTTGCATCCGATAAACAACGATAAACAATTAATCGTTGTTCATTAGTTAAATATTCTTTACCACATTCATCAAGGACTAGGATAAATTCTGCCTAAAAGTAAAAGAAAAAAAAATAATGAATATTAACAATTTTGTTTTGTCTATGAATACTAATAATCATTATAGATTACCAATATTTTACAATCGTCATATAATTCTGCATTTCGAAGTGTTTCCAACTGTTCAATTGAACTCATTATTTCTAAAAATGATTTTTTTTCTTATTTCTTATCACAATTTTCAAAATCATAATTTTATTTAAAAAAAAAGAAAAAGATAATACTACAACAACAAAAAAAGAAAAGAAAAAGAAAAACAACAACAACAAAAACAACAATTATATCACTGTATATGTAAATTAAACTCAACAAGAAAACAACAATATGACATTAATTAGCTAATGTAAAGTATCTTAGAATAGTTTGAATACAAAGATACAAGTAATGAAAATATTTCATACATATTTGCCAAACAAGATTAGGTGGTAATGTATTTGTTAAGAAATAACCAAGTGTAAGTCCAATTATAAATATTGTAAATGTAAAAAGAAGTTTAGATATGGATGTTTGTCGACTATTAACTTCTTCTTTTATGATTGTACAAGGTATAGAATCCGTTGTTGATGTGGCTTTACGTTGCCAAAGTGATGCGGATGATTGTTCAATTAATGATGGTGATGATAGCGTTTTATTTGGAAAAGTTGTTGATCTAATCGGTACTGTTTGTGGAGGTATTAACATTGATGATTGATCAGTAAAATGAAATGAATTATGTTGATTAGATGTAAAGATATTTGACGGAACTTGTTGTAAAGTTAAATCTGTTTGTTCACTCCATAAATTATCACGAAGACTTGATGCTGCAAAACGAAAACGAGACCACAATTGAGCTTGTTGATGACCGAATATAGATGAAGTTGATGATTGAGCAAATAAAGTAGTATTATTTAATGTTGAAAATGGAGTAGCACCGAATGTATTAGTCAATGGTAACGAATTAATTGGACGCGTATAATGACTATTAGTCTCGCGACTTGGCCAAAGACAATTTTTACTTACTAATATAAAAAGAGATATATAAATGTTAATTTGTATAAATTTATACAAAATCTTACATTTTCCTTCATCTAGACTACAACTTTCGAATCGATCAGCTAATATATTAACACCATCCAATGGAGAATTTAATACTCTATAAGAAAAAAAACTTGTTTTTTTGTTCTTTTATTATTAATCAATAACTAACCTATCAGTAGATGATGTTGATGATTCTTGTTTAGGAAATAATATTGAATTATTATTTAAACTATTCGTTAATGTAGTAGCCATTTCTGTAAATGTATCAAAACTACGTCGTAATCCTGATTGACGTCTTTGTTTAGGTAATGGTTCTAATATGTTTACAGGTGTTTTCATCGCTTTTGCTCTTGATCTTGTCAATGGTGGTTCAATTCGATTAACTGATTGTTTATTTAATGTTGGATATGTTCGTTTTTCCGCTGGATATCGTGGTGGTGGTCTTAAATCAAATTCCGAATCACAATCGGACAAGAAACTATGTCTTGAATTCTCATCATCTGACGCAATACTACAACTAGAATTCCAAGTCATTCTAAAATTTTAATCTAGAATAAAAATAGAAATATTATTAAAGATTATTCTGAGTTATAATCAAAGAAGAGTTGAAGAATGTAATTGAACAATTTGAAAAACAATATTACCAAGTCTGCTGATGATTATCTATTTTTATCGATAGACGTTTTAATTAATGTAAACTATATTATACTATTTGCTCTTTATAATTAACTAACTGATCTGTAAAAATATACATTGTAATGAGTGAGCAATCTTCATTTCGAATGAAATAACCAACATCTTGTCATAATAAAACATTCATTTCGTTAGCAATACAACGTGATTGTATACATGAAATATCATCACGTTTTGTTATTCATTTAATAGTGATATTGTAGAGTTTATGTTGTTTTTTTGAAATGTTGTCATAAATGCATCTTTGTATTTGTAAGCAAATAACTGTCGACGTCTTTTTAAAGAATTTAAAATATTTTTGATAATAATTTTACATTGTAAATTGATTGATATTTGAATTTAATGCGTCATTCTAGCTAGATTTATTAATTGTAAAATAATCTGTTTTAGATACGTTGTCAAAACGACGTTTTCGTAATTTATTAGATTGTAAGGAAGAAAAAAAACGAACGTTAAGATGCTGCTTACGAAATATCATCTTAAACTAGTTTAGAAATAGAATTATAAAACAAGTTGTATACATGACAGATAAATGTAGCAATACGCAATGACAAACAATTTGTTGAAACGATTGTTATTACATTACACTACATTTAAATATTGAATTGAATTCTGCCCTTACATATGTATGTTTTTCTATCCAATACTATAGGTAAATGGTAGATGTCGCTGAACAATACCTCGTCTTTTACCTATTAATTAATGATTTACTGACAAACAGTCTATGTCTTTGTTTAAAATGTTTACAAGAGTTGCATCGTTAAATCTTCCAATAGTCTATATTGTCTTTGAAGTTGAAGAATTTCAGTTTTAAAGACAATTTTAAGAAGTTTCTCTATAAAGCACTAGCCTACTTTCAGTTCAACTTGTTGTTCGTGATTGTTATTGAGCAAGATATTTTTTATCTTGAGATAATTGACTACCAAAATGAAGAGCATATAATGGATTTTTAGAAAAAATTTTACGAATAGTAGGCGAAAGATTATCTAATGAAATAGGTTTTGTTTCATTAATGATATGTTTTTTTATCATTTGATGATGACTGAGAAGAACGATAAGCTGATAGAAAACGAATCGGTGTGGATGTGGATGGATCAATATTAAACCCTACATACGCACCCTCACCCACACTATATCCTTCGAGATGGTATCCTGTGAAAAAACAAAACGTATTGAAAGAATCGTTCGAGTTTATTATACGTTAAAAAGATAGAATAAGGTGATGAAAAAGAAATTATGGCATATGATTGTTAAAATTAGTTAGTAAGTGTTCAATTGATTTCTCGTAATAACCATTATTTGCTTCTGTAGAATTGATGGTTACCAACCTTTGCTAGTCTGTCACAGTTATTTGTCCAACTTGGATAGCCTTCTTTGTCAGGATTATTGTAATGATCTGCTCCGCCAGTTGGATCCGCGCTCGCATCTTTCGACATTACCTCACGTGCTATCCGCTGGCATTGTTCCAATTTGTCGGGTTCATCAATTGGAGTTGGACGACCGTCCCAACATTCGAATTGACCGGGATGTCGGCATACATCGTCAATTGAGCTTCCACCCCAATATGATTGGTTCTTTGCAGCCCTGTTCCGAATCACCCAAGCAACCCATTCTATTCCTGTTTCACCTTCGCCTCGAGCTTCATGATAAAGGGTTTGAGGAAACACATCAGAATATGATTGATTGCCCATTTTCTACAAAAACAAAACTGAGTATATATAATAAATCGGAAAAAGCTTACGTAAAAAAGTAAATAGATGATGAATGCGTAAGAGAATACTGTATTGTATTTTGCGCCGAATATGGATTAATAATACTTTATTAAAATTGGTTGCTTCTTATATGCAGAGATGGGCAACTCCAACTCGGTGGAGCTGGAGTGGAGTTGAGGTGGTGCACCCTCGGAGTTGCCCATCTCTGCTTATATATAAGATGGGGCCCTTTTTACTGGGTATTTTTTGTTCTCTTTATCCGGTTGGTTTTTTCCAACCATGTGAGTCAATATTTGACTGATTTTTTTTCCTCTTTTTTCTGTTCCTTTTTTTTCATCATCAATCAATATTTTTGTTTGAGGGATATCGTTCGAATACATCTCGTATTTTCATTTTCTTTTGATTCTTCTTTAGTCGATAGACTGTACAGGGTGTGAGTGGGTGTGGCTGTAATTATTGTATGGATACAACATTCACACCTACCACTACACCCACACCCTAATTTAAAAATTCATTTGATAATTAAGAAATGCACGAGTCTAAAAAACGTGATGAAAGTTAGCAAAGGATTCAAGCCTTCTAGCTATACATCGAGCTCAAAAAAATAATCACAGAGATATCAATCAATGTAAGATTTTTCTAATATTGTCAATTATCGTATTACAACAAATAAGTAATAATAAAATAGGCTTCGATTATTTAACACATAAGAAACCAAGAACATTGTTAACTACAATCTTATCATTTACACATTATTTGTGCAATAGTATTTATTTGTCGGATTGAATGACAATGCACTGCTCTCTAAGTAATAGATTCTTCAATAAAATCTCGTGCGAATGTTGAAGAATTTGTAACATTTGTTATTTATTTTATATATTTCTTTTCAAATACATTGAATGATCTATGTTTTCAATAAAAACCAATAATATAATTGATGGAAAGATGTCAGTAAACGTTAAGGTAAAATACATCCATAGCAACAATGATTGGAAGTTATATGAAAGACAAAAACGACTTCTTTTCTCGCTTACTACCATCAAATAAAATTCAAGAATGTTGATTAATGATGCAAACATCAAATCATTTCGTATGACAAAAATATTTCGTGAAAATAGTGAACGTATAAATGCATGTGACTTTAATCAAAATGGTTTGTTTAATATTAATTTCATTCTTTTTATTGTTTCGAATTATTTAATAGGTGATTTACTTATTTCAAGTTCAGATGATGATACAATTGTTGTTTATGATTGCGAAGCTGGATTGTAAGAAAAATATACTTTTTTTTCCATTTGATATTGTATTCAATGATAAATTTAGACCTAAACGGCCTATTCCAAGTAAAAAATATGGTTGCGATATGATACGTTTTACACGTAGTGGTGAACAAGCATTACATTGTTCAATGAAAGTCGATGGTACGAAATAAATTTATTTTAAATTCATTGATATTATTTGTTTTTCTTATAGATAGTATTCGATATTTATCTTTGTCAGATAGTAAATATATTCGTTATTATACAGGACATACGAAAAAGTATGAAAAACTAAACAAAAATTATTGTGTTTATTTATAAATAAGTTTTTTATTTTTAGAGTACGAAGTTTAGCTGTATCACCTATTGATAAATCATTTCTTTCAGCTTCAGCTGATCGTACTGTACGTGTATGGGATTTAAGAAGTGCACTTTGTCAAGTAATTAATTCTAAAATATAAAATATTTTTGTTTAAGTTAATTAAAAATAGGGTTTAATTATAACACCTGGCAATCCAGTAGTAGATTATGATCCAGATGGACTTGCATTCGGTATTGGAATTGATTCACAAATTATTGGATTATATGATATTCGAAATCATGAAAAAGTAAGACGGTTTCTTGTTTTTCATATTAATAAATATGTATTTTCAAGGGACCTTTTGAAATGTTAAAATATGAATGTGAAGGTGATTTTGAATGGACACATTTAAAATTTAGTCCTAATGGAAAAATGATTCTTGTTTCAACCAATACTTCATTAATATTACTTGTTGATGCATTTAGTGGAGTGCTTTTACATACATTCACTGTAATGAAATATGAATTTTTAATTAGTTCATATTTAATTGATTTGTTTTTTGAAGGGACATCAAAATTCCAAAAATGTACCACTAGAAGCTTCATTCAGTCCAGATTCGAAATATGTATTTTGTGGTATGTATTGTTCTATCTTTATTAAACACCCACACCCACACTATTTTTTGTAGGCTCAACAGATGGTCGTATTCATGTTTGGCATACAAGCAATGGTGAAAAACTCACAACACTTACTACTGAAAGTAGTTCAGATTGTATACAATCAGTGCAATTTAATCCTAAATCATTTATGTTAGCAACTGCATCGACACATATGGTCAGAAATAAAATTATTTCAAAATATAAAAACTTATATTTTCCGTTTTAGGTATTTTGGTTACCACCTGTCGAGGATGATTAGGATAGATGACTTAATAATCTCTATTTTCTTGTCTTTTTTTCTCTCTATCATTGTGTGCAATACTCTTATTATTATTGTGCTAAGTAAAATTGTTTCTGCTAGTACTTGTATCATATATTTTTTAGATGTCTGAAGTAGCATCAACTCCAGTACCACCTACAGAAAATACCGTAGCCGAACCTTCAACAGTCGGTGAACCTCAACAAGAAAAAACTGAGAATACTACAAATCCAGTTGATGAAGCTGCTCAAAATGAAGTACAATATTCTATGGTTAATCCTGAATTAAAACCTGTTCGTCGTATAATTGCTGATGATCTTGAATGGAGTTTACGTATTGTTCCAGCATTAACAGATTTAGCATTGAATTCTCTTGTAAAAAGTTTTGATACAGAACCAAAATATAATGAATTATTAGATAAACATCGTGATCAATTATTAAAAAGTTTATCAACAAATGTTCCACTTAAAGTAACAGCACCTATCGTACATGATGAAAATTATTGGGAAAAATGTTGTAAAGAAAAATGGCCAATATGTGATATCAAAGAATATGATAATTCTTGGAAACGTTTTTATTTTGAAAAAAATATTCAAGAAATTATTGAAAATTTTATTCCAGCTAAAACTGATATGAAACAATTATTTGAATATGTTGATCTTGGTGCACAATATGTTAAACGACTTGATATAAAACAATTATTACCACCTGTTGAAATACAAGATCGAATTTTACAAAATGATGAAGAATATTTTGATGATGATGAAGATAATGAATCACCTACTGATCCTGATGCTGAATTAAAAAAGCCTTTAAGTGATCATTTTGATTTTACACAACTTATTAAACGTTTACCAAATCTCGAAGAATTACATGTTGTTTATGGTGTTAAAAGTTGTGGAATGAATTTTGAATGGAGTATGTTTGAATTTACAAAAAAAGATTGTCAAATATTAGCTAAATCTGTTCAACAATGTAAATCATTACGTGTTTTACATTTACATAGAAGTAAAGTTGATGATCTTAAAATAAGAATGTTAGTACGAGATGGTTTACTTGATCATCCAACATTAGAAGAACTTAATTTTGAACATAATTCAATTGGTGATCGTAAGTAAAAACAAAATATTTTTTTTTTTTTTTTTTTAATAATTATTTCAAATAGGTGGATGTCGAGCCATTGCTAAATTACTTAATGGTCATTCTAAATTAATTCGATTAAATTTATGTAATAATCTTATTGGTCCTCAAGGTAAATAATTTTTCAAAAATTGAAATTATATAAAAAAACTAATTTAAGGTGCACAAGCAATTGCATATGGTATTACAAAATCACCAACACTTGATTATTTAAATTTACGTTTAAATCGTATTGGAGATGCAGGTGGTCAAGCTATATGTTTAGCATTATTAATGAATCAAACATTACATGAATTAAATTTATCATCAAATAATCTTTCGGAACCAACTGGAAATAAATTAGCTGAAATACTTCATCAAAATAAAACTTTAATTAAAGTTGATATAAGTGCGAATCGTTTAGGTGGTGATAGTGGTAGACAATTACAAGAAAATTTACAAGATAATACAACATTGTTGTATTTTGATTTACGTATGACTGAATGTGGACAAGAATCTGAATATATAATTAATCAAAAATTAAAAGCAAATAGAGAACAAGATCGTTTAAATCGTATAAGTGATCGTAAAAATCATGGTCCAATGGGACGAACATATTCACATTTATTTTAAACAAATACAGTATAAATTTCTTTATTAATCCGTCCATTTTAGTTTTTCTTTTTGAATGTATTTTTTTGAATAATGAAAAAAAGTATTGCATCATAAATAAAAAATATCTTTAACTTATATCAGAAAATATCTGTATATAAACATATAGAACGATGAAAAAAAAATTATCTTTTGACATACATTTACATTTCTATGTGCATATATATAGTCTGATATGCCCCATTTTTTTTCGAAAATTTGATAAATTCCGAATAACTTACGAATGCAGAGTGATAATACCTAATGCTCGTACGAAATATCAAGTTTTAAAAAGATTTCGTCCATAGGTTGAATCATGTTGACCTTCTAATATTCTATACTATGTCATAGATATATAAAATTCTCAAGTAAATAAATTACTGTTATCTACAACAAGCGTTTTTCTTTTATTGTGTTAGAGATAGTAATAATATTATACTAACAAAAAAACAAACTTTGTAATAACAATGATTGCTGTAGTTTATGTTACAATTGGTATAGTATTTATATACTTTTTATTCTCTTTGTTTAAAGCCGAATCAAAAGATTCAGTGAATTCCAATGCTAATTTAGGTAATATATAGTCATCATGAAAAATAGAGTATTAAATTTAATTCTAGTAAAAACACCTGAAGAAATAACAACACCTATATATCGTCCATTTAAAGATGGTCCATTTCAAATGACAATGGGTAATACAATCTTTTTTTTTGATATTATACTATAATATTTTTGTCATATAATATAGGTATTAAATCATTGAATATAAATGAATGGATCCAAATCGATCGAAATTATCGTCAACAAATTAAACTTAAACAAAAATTATTGAATAGTAATAAAAGAGGAAATTTATTTCTGTGTAAAGATGAAGCTTATACTGCTGCAATGGAAACATTAACAATGTTAATTGAATACCTTCCTTATCAATATCCTAATATGTTTCAAAGAAATAATTCGAAAACAAAAATAACTAATCTTATTACTGGACAAACATTTAATTTAACAGAAGATAATCATATGCATCCATTAGAAATAGCAGCACTTCTCATTCAAGAAGATCTTGTTATTATGCAACGACATTCCAATGAACAAATATATCATGCAAATGTATTCATATATTATTTCTTAGTGTTCTTTTATGAAACAAGATTTGTTTCTAGGCATTAGCTGTTTGTTTTCCATCTGCATGGTTACCAAAATCAAAATTTGGTTTATCATTAGCAGCAGTTCATATGCCACATGTACCATTTTTTCAAGAGAAATTACAAACATCAATGGAAAAATATTTCCTTAAACTTAAAGAAGAAAATCCTGTAGAACGTTGTAATTGGACTTGTATGCTTTTAATTAAATTATTTATTTGATTAATTTATCTATGAGTATTATTATTTAGTACAAATTGGTAATAATCTTTGTGAGACATCATCATCAATGGAAGAAAATGATTCTGAAATGATTACAAAAAATAATGCCGGTCAATTAATGTATCTTCGTACGGAACGACAAACATTAAGACGTTTACCAAAATCAAATACAATTCTATTTACAATTAAAACATATATGACAAAAATTGAAGATGTTTGTAAAAATGATTCAGATATGGCGAAACGTTTAGCTGGTGCTCTAAGAAATTGGCCACCTGAAATGGTTCAATACAAAGTAATTTGGAAGAGAATAATTCGATTAAAAAATTTTTTTTTTGTCTTTAAGGATGCTGATCGATATAAAAATGGTCTTCTTGCGTATCTGGATATGATGTCTTCATAATAATATTTATTTCAATATTTATGTGTTAATTATAATAAAAAAAAACCAAGGCAACTATTTATTTTACTTTTGAGAAGTATTCAACGCAAAACTGTATATATACATAAAACAATATGATTATTGCAAAACAGACAAACAAAAATCATGATAATAGAATGTTTTGATCTTTTATTTTATTTTTGTAATAATAAAGCCACACCACCAAGTACCCATTTGCTTGGTCGTTCTTTTGTTTTAAGATAAAATGTCCAGACAAAATGAGCACCACGTGTTTTTATTTTATATACTGGACATTCATACATACCTTTTGTATCCATACGATCAATTGGTATAGCTTTAACAAATATAACTGGCATTTGTGATGTAATTTCTTTTAATTTAGCTTCAGCTAATTGGGATGTTTGAGTATCCCATCGAGCACCTTCAAGATAAAGGCCCCAGATATATGCACCTTCACGTGGTGCACCACCAAGTTCATCTTTTGTTCGTTTAGTTATGTCAACAGATAAACACATACGATCAAGTGGCCATTCATTTTTACGTGCTGTTGTTTGCATAATTGCCGTTAGAAATGATTGTGGATTAAAAAGATAACCTAAAGTAACAGCATATGGTAATTGAAAATCACTTGTCCACAATTCAAGATCTTTAAAACGATTGAGTAAATCAACAAACCATGAACTGAGTGGGAATAATGATGGATATGCTCGAAGTTCCCATGTTTTTGGTACTTGATCGAGATAAAGAGATTCTTGTAATGCTTCCATATCAGCAGTAACTGTTAATTCACCCTAATTTTGAAAAAAAAGTTTCATAATTCCTCTTTTCTTTTTTTTGTCTTTCAACTTACTTTTAAACCTGAATCTAATTCTTTCAAAGAACGTCTCATTTCTTTTAATAATGCATTCATACGTTCACATTCTTGTAAAGCAACAACTGTATATGGTGTTTTTTCTTCTGTTTTAGCAAATAATTCTGCCATACCGAATTCATCTGGCAATCGACCCATAATATCATCAAGCACAGTTTTAATCTAGATTAAAAAGAATAAATTTTATTATTTTTGAACATATTCTATATTCTATATTTCATACTTTTTCTTCTCGACTTGTTAATGAACCACTTTCAGCTGCCCCAGCACCTGCATCACGTGGTTGTAATTCTAAAACTGTTCGAAATAATGTTTCACTTGTTGTTGTTAAAAAATCAATTTCAGCATTTGGATGAAGACCATATAGATATGGTGATTCTGGTGGTAAATATTCATCAATATATTGATGATAACCTTTATAATCAGTATTTGGTGGAATTGGAAATGATGGTGCTAAATTTAAATCACCATCGAACTAATAAAAAACAATAAAAAGATAGAATTTTAATAAAGATCTATAGATTTTTCTTTACCATATCTGGATTAATATATGTTTCAAGATAACTTCGACATAAACGACGATCCCAATCATCCGTTATATGACCACCATACATAATTTCACCAAATAAATAACGTAAATCTTCCCATGGAACTTTTGAATTCGCTTCTAAATAATTGTATAAAACATCAACACTAATTGTTAAATCACCATTATTAAATGGATATCGTCTAAATTTAATAAAAGATTTATTATTATTATTATTATCAAAGAAAACTAAATAATAAACCTATTCCATCCAATTGGTCCAAATTTACGACGTTCAGCAACAACAGCATGAAAATAACATAGAGCAAATAGAATTGATTTAAATTCATTTTCTTTTGAACAACGCTCCATTGTATCTTGATCAAAATTATCTAATGCTTTATGAACATTTGCATACATTCCTTGAGAAAGACGAAAAAAATATTACAACTTTTTAATATTATTAATTATTATACCGGTTGGTGCTTCATTAGTAATTTTAATTGCTGATTCAAGTATACCTTGTGGAATACACTAACAGAAAAATGAATTCGTAAAAAAAATATTTTTTTCTTAGAAAATAACTTACATGACCATCTGGATCTGGTGCTGGTTCTGCTGAAAGAAAAACTCGAAATTCTTCAGTAGCAAATTCAGCTGTTTGTTCTAATTTCTTTTCTAATTGTGGTAACCATCGAGCAACTAAATGAATATTTTGTAGAACAACCCAATGACCATCGCGTGATCCATCTTCTAATGCTTTTTCTGCAACAACATCTTGTCCTATACAAAAAAATAAATTGAAATTATTTTAAATTGTTAAAATTAAGAAAAAATAATTAACCTTGTCCAAGTGAAATATTATGAAATTTGCCATTATCAGCTGTGAAACCCATCTTACGACCAAGACTTTCAACTTCTTTAAGTGGATCAACACCTGGTGAAAGAATAAAAAATATGGGTGTTGCTTTTGTTGTTTCTTCATATGAACGTGACACTAAAATATAAATTATTAGAAAAAAAAACGAAAATTATATTTCAATAACTAACATTCAATTGTACGATTTTCAACATATTTTCGACCTAATTTTTCTTCAACAAATAAACTTAATGCATAAAGCATTCGATCAGGTCTTAATGCTCTCATTAAACATAATTTTTGTAATGATGTTTTACTCTTCCATTCTTGTGGAAATTTTTCTTTTTCTGGTGCTTCAGATTCAACAAATTTTTTCCATCGTTTTGCTGAACCTTCAATATCTCGATCTAAATTATGAAATTCTTCCATAGTTGATAATGCTTTAATTCCACCCCATGATTGATCATTTAGAAAATCTACTGGCGTTGTTAAATTTGGTACATATGGATAACGTAAAAGAAATTCTAATTCTTTTGTATCAATTTCTTTATTTGTTAATAATATTTGAAAAACCATTTGAGATGTAAATATAAGTTTATGTTGTTCAAATAAAGATCTTGTTGTATATACTGATGTTGAATATGTAATTGAATCAATTAAATTAATTACACGTTGTTTAACATCATCACTTTCTTCGGATTTTTGTATAGCTTTTACAAAAACAATTTTAAATGCTAAAATGAAATATTTGGGTTTTTTCTGTCTATATTTATTTTCTTTTAAATTTTACCTTTTAATGAAAATTGATACATTGGATGTATTTTTCTTAAATCATTCATAATAAAATAAAGTAAACTAGCACGTGTTGCTGCAGGTCGATAAACTTCTCGTGTTTTATCAATTTGTTCACTTGTTTTTTCTGCTTCATTTTTCTTATGTTCAATTTCAATAGCAGTTGATTTGGTTTTTTCTAAATTTTCAACTAATGCAACATCACTAAGAAAATTTCCTTTAGCTGCTGCTAAACGTTGTAATAATGAATCTTCTAATTTTTTTAAACTAATTTTATATTCATTTTTCTGACGTGTTAATTCATATTTGGATTTTTCTAAATCAGGTCGTTCAAGTGCAACAACATCAGCCAATAATTGATCTTCAAGACCATCCCGTGTAACAGTAAAATTAATTAAAGTTGTTTGAGCTTGCATTTCAGGTTTATAATGTGGATTAGCTAATTTGGTTTGTAAAATTAAACGAAATTCTGGATGATATTCAATTTCTTTATCTCCTAATTTAATTGCACGACCTTTTCGAATTGTATTACGACCAATTAATGGATCAAGTATAGCTTCAATATTTTCTTCAATATTCTCAATTAATAATGTTTCACCTGCAGCAATAGCATGTTCAATTTTTTCCATATAACCTTTTCCACCCAAACGAATAACAACTAGTTTTTCTCCATAACGAGTTCGAATCCATTTAACACCTAAAGTAATCATTACATAATATAAATAAACAGAGACAAAAAGAAAATGAATTTACCTTGAAGTTGTGGATCGATCATCAAAGGCCTAAAGAAAACAAAACAGATTTATTAATCACAAACTAAATAGAACTTGAGTATGGGTATGAGTGAAAAAGATACCTACACCTACGCGCACCCACACCCTCAAGAATGTATATACATACCATCGTTCACAATTTGTTAAAATTGTTGCATTTTCATATGACATTCTATCAGCTGGTAAACCTTCATTATTCCATGCAGCCATATCAGCATCATCAATCAACATTGATAAAGGATCAAGATTATCGGTAACGGGAATTGGTACTTTTAAATTTTTTAAAAATGGCATCCAACGACGATATAAAAGTTCTTCACGATAATATTTTGTAAAATATCCAACATATGATAGGTAAGCTGTTGTTATAAGAACATTTCCTGGTAAAAATTTTCCTAGGATTTGAAATTGTTGTATAGTATTTGTCCATCGTTCTTTTTCCGAAGCAAGACCACCAACAAGACGATTAGCTAAATTAATTGTATATGACGTTTGATCAGCTGCTCGTTGACATTCATCTTTTTCATTTTGTGCAGCTTGAAATTGATCTTTCAAAGTTTGTAATGCTGTTTGAAGTCTCTAGAAAAATTAAAATTGAAGAAAGAAATGTTTTTCTTTTTATGAAATTAATCTATTTACAGCTAATTTAGCTTGTGTAGCATTAAATTGATCTTCTGTTTGTCTTAATTGTTCTGTTGCTTCTTCAGCTGCTAATCGTTTTGGTTCAACTTCACAATAGACACGATAATATTGAACAATATTTATAGCCCATGCACATAAACCAGCAGCTGCTAAAGAAACACGTCGAATAGCATCAGGATTAAAATCTGGATCACGTAAATATTCTTCAACAGCTTTTAATGATGATTCTAAATTAAAAAATTAAAAAATTAAAAAATTATAAATTTTAAAATCTTTAATAAATAAAAATATCTTATACCTGGTATATGATTTTTATCATAATTTAATAAAGTATTTAAAAATACTCCTACATCACCAATCATTGATTTTGCTGCACGCCATGTTCGATCACGTGGAACACGATCTAAAAAAACAAAGTATAAAATATATTTTAACAAAATGAATTTAATAAAAGTATACTTGGTGGTGAAAGAAGTATTTGTATAGTTGCTGTCACTTTAAGTATAGCAGCTGGTGGTGTAGCAAATGATTTAAGTT